TAAACACTGCTCTCAAGAGATGAGAATATAAATTATCAATTAAAGTGAGCGACAGGAGTACATGCAGTGAGTACTTCCATAACTATAAGAGAAAAGTTACTTTACAAAAAGTCCATCTCACCTCTTATAAATTTCCTTCGCATTAATACGACGGATGGGGTACACTTAGAAACCCCACCTTGCTGGATGGGTTAATGGGTGTTGGGTTGTTTGGGTAGGACCCTAACGAGGACCCCTAATGGGTCTCTAGTTGGACCTAGACCTCACCTAGACCCTTATTGGGTTAGAACATTGGGGTTTTAGTTCATTGGATCCAGTGGGGTTTGGGTCTAGATAAAAAATAAATATATTTTATTTTATAGTATATAAATAAAATTGCATATATTATGAGACCATTGATTTTGGTACAAGGATATCACAATCACTTTTAACCACAAGATATGAAATCTAATAAATGAAAGTGTATGACATATCCTCAACTACTCGATTTTAAATCTAACAGTCAATGATGATTGTGACCTCCTTATATTAAAAGTAAATGGACTCATTATATACATTTCCATATATAATGTATACAAATATCAAGTTTCATAGGGTTGGGTCGATATCTACCATGTTCTGACGAACCTGATAACGTCTAGGATGGACCCAACACAACATAAGTGTTAGGTTCAAATCATTTGGACTTTGACCCGACTTTTAATTTCAATATTTGGGTCCGCATATCGTCCCAACCCAATTGCCACCCCTACCGCTTGCTTATCAAAAAAAAAAAAAGATTTTCCTCTCTCTTGGCTCTCCTTCATCGCTCTAGTGCTAATTTTGCCTCCTTATCATCAGCCTTTAAAAAATTAGATCGGCAGGGCGGTTCCTCTACCCCCAATTCTAATATGAATTGAAAGGATTGGTGGTTCAAATCGTTTCGGATCGGTCATCTAGAAAATAAAAATAAAAATAATAATAATAATAAATATTTTAAAAAAAATTTATGGAGTGAAGATGGTGGACCAAAGACAAATTAAATATGCTCAAAGAAAAAAGAACAAAAACAAACAGAAGGGTTTAAGAGTGGAAGACCGATAGCATTTTGAAACCAATTTTTCCTTACCAATTTCACATTAAGATCAACAATCGAGATGAAAATCGCTAGATTTTAAAAAACACTGATTACCATCATCACTGGCAAAAAGTTGTATTGCAACTTGTATCACACTAATTTTGTTGCGACTTGTATCACCACTCCACTAATTTTGTGGGATTCAAAACGCTATTCCTCTTAGCGGACCACTAAATCCTGGGCTACGATTTGTGGGTCCAAGCGCACCATAATGTTTTGTCACGAGATCCAACCTAAAGGGTTGGCCACGTCAACTACCAATAGCAACTACACGTACATGATTAAAACCATTAAAGTTTACAGTTGATCAAGTTTGCTTTTTCCTTATTATCGTTCACCTATTTATTACGTCACAGGGCATCATCCTACATAGGATTTTACTATTTGCATGCGCGTCACATGTGGCATGAAACCATTCGAATGCACGGCGTTTAATAAAGGGCAAAATTTTATATGGAGCCTAGCCTCTAAACAATCAAATTCTTAATAAAAAAAGAAGAATTCAACGGGTAATCAGATTGTTTAATATATTTATGATTTTCCCAATTGAGTGGAGGAGATAGTGAGAAACATCCAAGAGTTGGTAAAACGAATGGACAATGATTCCCTAAAAAATTAAACACGACGACTTACTTGCCCAAACTAAAAGTTACAAAGGAAAATTTGAAAATAATTCTCTCAATAAAAAAAACATCGGAAACCTTCTTTTTTTTTTTTATTGACTTTTTTTTTTTCCTTTAAATAAAAAATTGTTTCAAATCCAACCATGGTCGAAGTGGAACATGAGTGAGATGCTACTTGCAAGGCAAGAGCAACTCAAATTTAGGGGACCCCTTCCTTGTTGAGCTATTAAAAATAATAATAAAAAAAAAACGACCCACATATATGAATCTTTAATAATTATCTCATTTTCCGGTTTGTTGAGCAGTGGTAACGACCGGTGCCCTATGGGCTGGGTACACCCATGCCAGGCCCGAGCCTGTCCTCTAGGATCCTAGACCTAGCCATGTACTGGCCCGGCCCATTGCGACCCTTGCTCGTGAGGACACCCAAGTTATAGCATTCAAAATATGAGACACACAAGGTACATTTCCCTCAAATAAGGAAATCTTGAACTTATTTCTATCATGGTCAAATTTTGTTCTCTCCATCAGGGCACGTTGTATGAGAAAATCCTCGAAGGAATCCGCTGTTAATCAAAGTGTATATTTTATGCAAAGAGAAGATTTAAATGAAGGAAAACGGTTTGATAGGCCCCCAACCCTATAAAAATAAATAAAGCCTCAACTCATGAATCATCGAAAATTACAATTTAAGTATTGAAAAACTTTTAAAACGATCATCTCGACTTGAACATTATTGTTGTAAAAAAAAATTAGAATTTTAATATCTTAAAATAGTGTATATTATAACAAATTATCTAGACCGTCCATTTCACCCTAAAAAATAAGTGTTCAAAGATTTGCAAGATCTGTATCATTGTTTAAAGGAAAAGGTTTATTTAAGATTGCAACATTAAAATGTAGAACTATGGATGCACCTCAAAAATCCATCGAAAAAGGATATTTTAATATTGAAAAGCCATCTAATCAATCATGTCAACATCGAGATGTATGACTATAGAAAAGAAAAAGATTTTGAGTCCTAAAAATAGTGCATCTTACACCACATTATCTAGACTGTTTATTTTCAAGATTTTCATATGTTTATAGATTTACATCAAAATTATCTATTATGATAAAATTAGAAGGTGCGTCTTAATTTGATTGTTTGAGGTTACACCCTTATGAAAACGACACCCTTTTGAAAATTTCAAAATTTATTCACGGTGTAGAGAATAGATCTTAGAGTCGTTATAAGGGTTTCTGATGCCCAATGTGCCTTCGGGAAGAGGATTTGAGGTGAGGCTTTAAGAGAGAGAAAGAGAGGGGAAGAGAGAGAGAGAGATTATTAATATGAAGATCAAAACTACATACAAAAACATGAGAGAATATACAAAAAGAGGTCTCAAAAGAGATCAACACTAAAAAAACTAGAAAAGAGTGAAGCTTAAAACTTTATCTGATCATCTCCACACTTTGTGTTTCAGGGCTCTCCATGATGCTCTCTAGACCAGGCCTCCACACTCCATTACTTGATTTTAAGAATCCACCACTATCATAACCATAACTTCTACTCTTTTTAATCTCTAACAACAACTCTTCAACCCTCATTCCACCCTTCTCTTTACACTTGAGAGCCAACCATTCCAATTCTTGCCTTGTCACAACAATCTTAACCTTGATACCACCATCCCTAAGGCCACTATCATACCCTAAACTACCATCCTGAAAACCACTATCTCTGAATCCACCATCACCAGATGCCCATTTTTCTTCTCTCTCTTCTGGATTTGTTTGTTGGCCACATTCTAGACTTGGGTTGCAGGTCTCCATGCAGTTGCCCATGATTTCACATACAGAGACACAGAGAGAGAGAAAGTGTGTATTTATGAGTGTTAAAGAAGTGGTTGGGGTCGAATGGGAGATGTGGTTATTGGAGAAGAGAAGCAAGTGGAGTTGGAGACAAAAGAGAGAGGATGAGAGGGAGCGGAAATAATGTGTCGGATGAAGTTTAGACTGGGGTTTTGAACCAGTCTATGAGGACCATTAATTTATTATGGGTCAGTAGTGTGAATGGAACCTTGGGGTAATGGGGTGGGTCATCTCTCTCTCTCTCTCTCAACCAGAGCATTGAAAGGGAATTTGGGGTCCCCTCTTTTTCTTCTAAGAGCGCACCTTAGATTCGTATGCTCGTATCTCTTTCCCCATACCCACTGACCGCTTCGACAACTACTAACTAAATTGGGTTGGAGCCTGTCATCCTCATTAAATTACCCAAAAGAATATATATATGTAAAACCACTAACATTGGATTCATCTCTCTCTTGTTTCTATTTTTCAGTTTTTCACTTTTGAGGAAATATTTGGTATTATTTTAAGGAGTGTGGTTTGTATAACGTTGCAACTTTTAAATATTTAAAGTAAAGCGCACCTTTAAATTTTATCATAAGATGTAATTTTGATGAAAAAAAAAGCTTAGGCTGACTTGAGAATCTATTTTCATCATTAATTGTAAAATTTTAAATTCTAAAATAGCTTTAATCAAGTAGATCTATAAAGTATAAACACATGAAAATCTTGAAAATGGATGGTCCAGTTAATGTGTAACATGATGCATAATTTTAGAATAGAGTTTCTTTTCTTTTTTGTTTTTTTTTTTTTTTTCCATATTCATACATTTCGATGTTGAGGTGTCAAGATCACCTTTTTCCATTGGATTTTTTAAGTACACCTTGATTTTATTGTTTAGGGTTGCAAAAATGTAACTTTCTATTTACGTATAGAGAAGTACTGTACTTTTTACTTAATGGAAAATGCAAAAAAGAAATTTATGCTTAAATATGGAATATCTTCCTTCACTGTGTTTAAGAGTCAATAGAAGAGAAGACTCGTGTAGAGCACGTGAAAGGGCATATATCTTATTACCCCATTTCTTTTTCTTTTCTTTTTTTTGTTAAAATACGATTTTGTATTTTTTTCATCTTTATTTAATGAAAAACAGGTAAGGGGTCTTCTCTGCCACTAACCTATCTAAAAAAAAGTAAATTATATAAATCCTAAAAATGAACTTGATAAACATTCTACCGCACCTAAGAGTCAATAATAGTTTTTTTTTACTTTTAACCCCCAGTAAAAAAAAAGCACTGTTTTAAAGATTAAACTACCATTTCCATCCTCTACTCTACCCTTTAAACTCTTTTTCCCACCCCCCCTCTCTCTTTTTCTCTACCTGCCTTCTCTCTCTTTCTTCTCCGCCCGACTTCTCTCTCTAGCTCGCTCTTTCTTACTACCTTCCTTCCCTTTACGTCTCTCTCTACTCAAGTAGAGAGAGAGATTGATTTAATGGGTAGGGTAAAAAAAGGGAAGGAAAGTTTATTCTTTAAAAACAAGAAAGTTTTTTATATAGCCGAGGCTCTAAATAATCAAATTAGACCCACCTCAAACATTCCACCAGAAGACGTTGTTTTGATGCCCAAATATCTTCAAATTGATCATCTTGATATCAAGATACATGGACATGAGAAAAAAATGGATTTTAAGTTTTAAAAATAGTGCATCTTGTAACACATTTTTTGGACCGTCAAGTTTCAAGATTTCCAAATTTTCATAGATATACTTGATCTACAATATTTTTCATAGTTTAAATTCTATAATTAAAGATAAAAATATATTTTAAAGCTATCACAATCACCTTTTTACTAGGGGATAAAAGTAAAAAAAAACTCTAAAAAAGTTATGGATGTGATATTAAAAATATTAGAGGTAGACAAAAGTCCATTTTGGGGATCTATAATTTTCCAAAAAACAAAAAAGAAGGTGCAAGTATTTTCAAGGGTACCTAAGGCGTACTTTGTATGCTTGCATTATGTAGAGACGCCCTTAGCCTATGTACAAATAGGGATGGCGCTTGCTTTCTTTTTGTTACAAGTTGACTATTGAGGAACCAGTTGCATACAGTTGTAACTGACGAATGGTTAACCATAGTCAAAATAATAACGAGGTACGATGGTTCACAATGTGTAAGATTGGACAATTAGATAGCATGGAAAAAGGTCATAACCCTCTTACGTTTTGTTATTTTCGTGTACAAGATAAATATACAATCTTCTGTTTTCAAGTGTTTCAATGATAAATTTGACTGGAGAACATTATGCAGACTAATTGTTATCGGTAGGAAAATATTATCCTAAAATAACGCAATGACATGTTGACATGAGGATCACTCTTCAATTTGTTTTCAAATACCTCCTAACATAAAACTCTTCATGGCCCCAATTTCAGGTGCGCGCAATTTTTCCGACTTCTCCTTCTCATATAGTTCTATATTTCTATCGTTCCATTTATTTATGAAAAATATTTTTATACTTCCCCTACGACATAGAAGATATGAGCTCCCCCTATCCAGCTGTCCAACTTAGATCAAGTGAGCCACTGATTGTTTGATCTATATCCGACACCTCAGAGTAGTTCAAGTAAATTTGGTATGTGTCATCATCTCGATTGGGCCCACCTAAAAACAATATTACATTTTTAAAAAATATATATATAATGATCAGAATACCCTGAAAGTTTCAAGAGGTATTTTGGTCATTATATTTACTGAGAATATATTTTTTTACATTTTTTATAGTACGAGTTTAAGATAGGAGTGGACACCAAAAATGTAGTGTCAAAATATTTTGTAAAAAATAAATTAAAAATAAAATAGCGTAAAGACGTGAAATTGTGATTAGGGTCATCTCAACCGTCCATTCAGAGTAAATGGTTGGATAGGGGAAAGTATATAAGTTTTATGCAGTAGAGAAAGCATAAAAAGCTTGCCCGTGATTGACTGCAGGGAATGTGCAAGGAAAAAAAAGAAAGGCCCTCTCTTGATCATGCTCCCTCACATCTCTCTTTCTCTCTCACACAGTTTATTCTTCTTCCTTTTTTTTTCTTCTTTTGACAAACAGTCTCTCAGTTTACTCTTACCCCTATTATTTTCAAATTCATCACGTCTCTCTCTCTCTCTTTACTCTTGCCTCTCCATTATATTCATATTGGCTGCATCTTCATCTCTCTCTTGGGAACCTTTACCATTCGTGGACTATAAATAGTGTACACTGGTTTAAAGTTTAAACATTTGCATAACGTTTTCAACATACCCTTTTCCCCGGATGGACCATTTCAACGCTGAATCTTTTTCTCTCACTTTAAACCCTCAATACAATTAAAAGAAATGAACCACCTTCTTTCTCTTTTCTTAAAGTAAAGACCATGCCATCAAGTGCAGACGGATATTATATTGATCTTCTTTTATAGCTTATAAAAAACACGTTCAGACGAGGAAAAAATGAATATGGTGATACCTTTTAGTCATTCTAGAATACTCCAAGATTTAAAATCCAATAAAATAAGTTAAACTTTATACAACGTTAAACTTTAGGACACGATTTTTATGAGTCCATGTAGAAATGTATCACCTCTTAAAAATCAATTTTTGAGATGAATTTTTTGACCTAATTTTTAAAGACATGGAATCTCTAACATGGAGATCATGATTACAAATAAATAAATAAATTTTTAAAATTAGAAATAATAATTCTATATCTCTAACATGGAAATTATGATTACAAATACATAAATAGATTTTAAAAATTATAAATAATAATTCTATTAGAAAGCATTTGGACAGTTTGTTTCAATTGTTTTTAAATGGACCACCTATTTGCATCCATCTTTAAAATAGATGCTTTATACATCGGGGACCGCAAGTTTAAAAATGAGGTCCCTACCCATGAAACAATTTTGCTAAACATTATCCAAACATAAATATTTTTCTTATTCTAGAGTTTCCTATGTTCTTCTTAATTTTTAAAATAAAAGACGTTTGATATTTTTGGTGAATGAAAGTAGTCCATTTGGCAGACAGTAGATTTAGGCCTTCAAGATATCTTGTCTTTTTTTTTTTTATGGGGGTTCTTATTCCAAATTTAAAATGTACAAAAATTGTCTCAAAATTCCTAGAGCTATGTGTGTTGGACCTCGAAATAGTTACTAGCACATTCGCGTATACAAATTATTCCATGAAGGACATGTTTGTAAGTATTCATTATCACTAATCAACTACTATTTAATAAAAGTAATCTTGATAATGAATTATATATTGTTTGGCAATGTGTATTATAAAATTATTCAAGATAAACTTATGCGTAGTTTTGCATATAAGTTAATCTTTTTGAAAAGTAATTTGTTGAAAATTACATTCTTTAGCCAGAAAAACTACAAATAGTTTAAAATTACAAAAAAAAATTAAATAATTAAATATTATTATAAAAATTGTATATGACGATACCATTTATTTTTATACAAGAAGATCACAATTATTGTTAATCACACGTAAGTAGTGGTCGTATCAATAATTGAGCACAAAGTCCAAAACAAATTTTCTGAAAAGCTATAACATTTTAATATGTTAGATTTCATATCCAATGGCCGAAACAATTTGTGATTTTCTTGTACTAAAAATGAATGGTCTCATCGTTTGTAATCCCATTATATTATATTGAATACAAATTACGTACCAAACATCAAACAGTAATTTTCACAAGCAACCAAAACCCATTTGGATTCACAAATTATAAGTGGACTAAATTAATTCCCTTCGGCTGTTAACGACAAAGACATCCCTCACAAGTTCTATGCGGCCCAAGTTAATTCCCTTCGTATAAAATATAAGGCGCAGACAGAGAGAGTAACAAACATATCATTGGAAAAGTAAAACAAGAGTGAGAAAGATTAAAAATATGAAAGAATCTTCAACTGGGTGTCAAACCATCTAAATCTATACTATACTATTATTTGGACTTCATGGCTGCAACTTTATCTTATTGAGGCATAAACCATCTATTTCATTTTATGTTTTCACTAAAGATATAATATTTCAAAATGGGAATTATATTACTCAAACATGGTTAGATGCATGTTCCTCGGTTAAAAAGATTTACCGGTTTCCTATCGCTTTTCCCGACACCGCGAAAGCGAGAGATTGGCGTAAGGTTTGAAAATCTACCCGTGTCATCTGCAAAAGTCATACTTTGAAAAACAATTGGGTATGTGCATGTTACCTGTTTGCACAAAAGACACCTCTGGATCCCTCATTCTATTGCATTAAATAATGTTTACTTTTATTAAAATCTCTCTCCCTTTTCTTCCCTTAGGGCAAAAATATGGCACATTTCACATTACTTTCGTATATTAAAGTCTCTCCCTCTTCCCTTAGGACAAAACTTTGGCTCATTTTACATTGCTTTCGTTTATTAAAATCTCTCTCTCTCCATAAAACGCACACGATATCTCATTTCACGAACACCTAACAGTTTAAATAGCAATAAAAATTACTGAGATCATTTACTTATGATACAAATTGATTAAAATTAATATTGACCATTGGATGTAAAATTGGATGGTTGCATTTATTCCGTTGACCACGCACAAACTTCAAAAGACATTTTTTCAAACTTTGTGCTACACCTAAGCTATCAGATTTTATAATAGCACAAGTAAATGGTCTCATTGTATACAATCCCTAAAAATTAAACCAATCTCTCCTCTCTCTTTTATCCCGAGCTAGGTGCGTGTTTATTATTTCTTTGCAGAACTTTCCAAAACCCATTGCCAATAATCAATATTTCCAGCCCACAAATGGTGATAAATACATAATTGGGATGTATAATTCCTTTACTCATGCTCAATTAACCAAAAAAAAAAAAGGCAAACACAGAAAAAGATTAAGACCACCATTCTCCATTAGAAGCCAAGTGATGCCAAAAGAGAAGTTTACACAACCTACTATCACATAAACCATGACAGAAAAATTCTGATTCATAAAGTCTTTAGACCTAGGAAAGGGGCAGAGTCGTGGTATTGACACTCCCATATTTAGTTACCACATTGGGTTTCTGATCCTACTAACACCACCCATTGACACCTAACTTGCTAATCTATCTGAAAAAAATGGGTAGGGGGCATGTCTTCCCATTGAATTATCCAAAAATAATAAAAAAATAAAAAAAAGTCTTTGGACCTGGACCATTTGCATATCGGTGTGGCTTAAGGCCTCAACCTTAAACATTCAAAGTAATGTGCACCCTCTAGACCATGCCAAAATATGTAGTTCTAGTGCCAGAAACAGCCTAAAAATATATTTTGGCCCCTAAATAGGAAATTTAAAGCTCACAAAATAGTGCATATCTAGTAGATCTATAAGTACTAGGAAATCTTGAAAATAGAAGGTCAAGATTACATACTACAAGATGCACTATTTTCATGACTTAAAATTATTTTTGTTTTATTATATTCATACAAGTGGAGATGATCAATTGGAGGGCTTTCAAGCCTCAAAACAATCTTTAAATATCGGTTTTTGAGCTGCACCTGTTATAGTATAAGTTTGACACCTTATATCAACTCTCTCCTCTACATATTACCGTAGAACCATAGTTTTACAGAAAGGGATTATCGAAAAGAACAGCAAAGACTCATGAAAAGCTTTCACTCATAGCAAGCGTTGGCATATATTTGCATATCACAAACCATGTCAATGAAAGTAAAAGTCCAGTACTAAATTCTTCTTAGGTAACTACTTACAAGTCAGCAGATTTTTGGACCATTTACATACTTCCCAAAGGATCTGGGAAAGGAATAAGCAAAAAGAACAAGGATTCATGCAAAGCTTGTGCTTACTGTAAGCGTTGGCGTTTCTTTGCAAGGTTCTCAAAGACTTGCTGTACGTCTGCTGATGTGACCGGTTTTGAAGGGTCTAAGTTTCCCTGCATGCATAAAGTAAGCATCACAATTTAACTGTTTGGTATCAAGGAAATTGGCTAATAAATGAAACTACATCAACAAAATCCTGCATTCTTAGACCCAGAGATTCCATATACATAATTGTAATCTCCAAATAGATATGCCCAAAACTGAATTAGCCACAACCCAAAACACCCCTTGAATTCTGGAAAGCCTAGCTGAAGCCCCCAAACTTAGTACCAGGAAAGATCAAATATCACCAGTGTAGATGCACTCATCCCAAGGAATAAACTATCATTAGTATAAGTCATAATCCAAACCCCACCCAAATGGGGAAACCCCATTAGCCAAGTGTTTGAAGTCCTTAGCTTGCATGTCCAATTGTCGACATGTGCACCACACTTACCCTATACTTTTGAGTCCTTAGGACTCAAAATTTGGAAATCAGATGGTAAAACTTGTAAACTCTGACCCTAATTTTCATATCCGTTCAACCCAAGAACAAAATCAAACTCTGCAATCCAAATAGAAAGTCTTCAAAATATGGTTAAAATTCCATATTTCAAAAATATAATGACTTGAATTTTAGGTCCAAAATTTAGCCACAAGTGACAACATTTGGCCCAAACTCAATTTTCCAATTTTTCCTAATTCTATCTTTCCTGACTAACGAATATTGGTTAAGATCCATGGCAAATTCTGACAGTTCTAATTCAGCCCTTGGACAGAACTGTTCAAAAAAAAATTGTATGTCATGCTCATGCCCCTATATTTATATATGAGAGGGAGAGAAAATAGAAGGGGGGGGGGGGGTTGTGAGAGAGAGATAAATAAGGTAAAGAAAGAAATAAGGGGTAGAATTAATTCTGGGGGCATTATGTTGTGACATAAAGTCATTCTCTATCTAGTTTCCAGCTCTATAGTCTATACCATTTACTTCTGAATGCTGGTTAAAATGGTGAATTGCATTGGGGGCTGTGGAAAGGTAGCCTCGTCAATGCATTTTAAATGATATAAGGGACAAGGAATCAGAGTCCGCATCAAATTTGCTGCGAGTCCTATTAGAGTTTACATGCCAACCATTAGCAAAGAGGATAAACATAAATAGAACTTTTTGTAGCTCTAGATAGAAGCCCCCTTCAGATTGGTGAGTGGTAGAGTGCTTAGGCGTATTTCCTCATATAGGAGAAAAACAATAGGATCTTCATAGGGTGTTTGTCAAGAGTTGTGAGACGAGCTGGGAATGGTTTCCTTGGCAACCATCAGGAATGAATTGATATGTAATATTGGGGACTTATTGCCAGGTTTCTGAGAGAAGAGGTGAAAATAGAGTTAAAAGGAAACACATAATAACCCTCTTAACTCATTCCTTGAATTTAAAATCACTTTTGGCACTGGGTCAAACTGGATCAGGAGTCGTAAGGGATGGAATGGAAAGAATGCGCCATGTTTGTTCAGGGATGAATCTATTGAAACTGAGGCCCCAGCTCTTCTCTATAGTCCAACATTCAGAGCATTTCTAAGATTGTTTGCAGCACCATTGATCATAGAATAAGATTATTCTTTTTATTTTTAAATATAGGAAAAAGTAAGGGAGATTCGTTGAGAAGCCAGTGATTCCTCGTTGGCCCCAAGAATACTGCATGGTGGGAGCCAATGTACATTTGCTCCCTCAAGCAAAACTATTTAGCACTCAAATTTTTGGGATGTGACCCACTCAACCTAGTGGCCAACTGTTTAATCACACCCTAGGATTGCACAAGACCGTCCAATTTATGGAAGTTAAGTTTTAGATGTTTGGGTGCTCAAAACCGTTTTCTTTTTCACAAAAACACTCATCTAGTGATTCTAAAGTCATCTAGTGATTCTAAAGTGGATCCCAAATTGTCGAATCAAGAAAACTCCGAAGTAGGCCAATGGAGAAAATGGATTTTTCTACCTCGGGAGCATAGTTTACGTGTTGCTATCTAATCTACATTTCAGTATGAAGTAAGAAAAGTCAATCTATAGGAAAGCAATCAGGCTAACTATTGAGTGATCAGCTCGAAGTGCTACCCTTTGAATTCATCCCCAATTTACAAGCTCTAGGCATTGGCTTCTGCATGCTTTCATATGCCAAACTATTAAAAGTGCTCATTTGCCATGATTACAATGTAAAACTAAACCTTCCCTATGAAACTTGACTGAAGGCAAATGCTCACAAAAGCACAAGTACGAAAACCGCAACAGGGGGAAGAACTATTACTGCCGTTCGTTTCCATAAGTCATGCCAACATGGTCACTAGTTTCACAAATTTTATAAAGCATCCACCATTTTCAGAAAAGAAAAACTATCCCACAGCTTTCAGAACAGTGATTGACTACTAGGGTGACTCACCCTGACCTGCCCAATCTCCCCAAACTCAGAGGTTATGTAATTGATACATAATTTATTATGTTTAATTTATAATTGATTTAATATTTGATTCAGTCAATTATAATTGACTTATATTTAAGCTTTTTATACTTTTTCATGGTTTTATGGTTTCTAATAATTTTTCTATTTTTTTCATTTTTCTGAAAATATTATTTTTAACCAGTTTTCTATTGTTATTTTTCTTGAAAACTTTTTTTCTCATCTTTTATATGCTTCTTTTTTGTCGTTTAGTATTTTTTGTGATTTTTCCAAAGTTTTAGATATTTTTCTTACTTGTTTTGGGTTTTCTAGGTCATTAGGCTGCTCGGTGTGGACTCGGGCGAATCATTGTCTTGGGAAATATAAGAAACCACTGAGGTTCTAAATCAAAGACTCTTACCCCGCAGAGCTAAAACCAGTGGCTTTTTCAACTAGCATTTCATGAAATGGTCGGCATGTAATCTCCTGATAATAGATGGAAAACTTTGATAACAGACATACCAGGAAGGCATGAAGTTCATTCTTCATGTCGGCAATGCCACTCAGAATCTCAATTTGCTGTACACGACCGAGATTGTTAAGGAAGTTCATCTCAACCCCTTCCTGCTGTTGCAGTTTCTCCTCCCTCTTTTGTTTACCTATCTTCTCATATTCCTCCATTGAATCCTCTTTGTCAAGCAAAAACCTGATACCTTTCTCAGTATAGATATTTTGGCAACTCACACACCTACAAAGAATATCCCTCCAATTCTTCAATAAAAAGAGTGGCTTCTTGTCTCTTTCAGTGAAAGGTGTCTTTAAACCTACCCCTACAAAGCATTTTGGGCCCAAACCATTATCGTCTAAGCATCCATTCTCTTGTTTTAAACCCGCATTTTCCTTCTTAGCATTATCATCAGCAGTAATTTCATTACTATCAACAATCTTGGAAGAAATATTCACCTTTGGGTTCTCAGATGACCCAATCTCACACTTCTCAAGCTTCCCAAGGGATTTTGAAAGCTCCTTCCCACAATTTTTCTCTGATACATCATTATCAGCATTACTGATACCTGATTTCTCCATATCATTAGATATTTCTGGGTTATCAGAAGAAGAAAGACTACTCTTCACCTTCACAGGGGATCCAGAAAGCACATTCTCATGCGACTGCTCTTTGATGTTGCTTGGGGCTCCGTTTGCTTGTTTGGCTCGTGCCCAAATGTCCGGAGGGTAGAACAAGAGAAAAGGGAGCTTAATAGAACAATCCTGACAGATGAATTCCTCATATAAAGGTTCCCCTTCTTCATCTCTTGGGATCTGCACATGCAATCACATGAAAGGGGATCAAACATTGGTTGAAAGGAAAAGTAGATTGGAATTATGTGGTGAAAGTACATTCAATTAAAAAAAAGGATACCCCAGAAGAGCAACTTTATTCTCATTTCTTAAAAAAGGTGATGATTTTGTGTGTGTGTTTGTGTGTGTGTGTCTAACTGGCTACCCTAAAATAGTGTATGTATTAATAACATAAATAACTTAACCAATTCATGATAAGGGCAACATTTGGGTTCTTTATCTCCACAATGCATGGAGCTTTGTTAAAGGGTGGCAAAGTCCAAATGCTGCATTGGTAGTTGTCATGGGGCTATACCCTGTACAGTGCCAAGCCAAAGTTGAACCCAACCCAAGGCAGGCCAGCCTTCCACAAGCAGATACAAGAGTAATGAACAAACAAGCACGTAAAGCTTAACAAAAAAGGGCCCCGCCCCGTTCTTATTACCTTTATATACTTAGTTCTACATAACCATGGATGTCCCCCCGGGAGAAAGGCAGGGGTGGGACACGTGGTCATTGCATGGCTACTAATGCCTACATAGACCATCTACATGTGCACTCACCCTCTCTTACAACTTCTGGCCGTTGCACAAACTCATGCCTGGGCCGTTTGCATAGCTTTGAATTTGTATCCCTTTAAATCATTGATGGTCATTACACCTGCCCAGCAAGTGTATGATTGGCTAAGTCTCTTTCACATGGGCCATGCCGATATCCCATCAAGTCACGCTAACCATGTTTCAACCATTCAAGACTCAGCTTGTCGGTCTTGGTGGTCCACCATGTCCCACCTACCAAGCCATCCATGCCTGCCATCTTGCCCAAGGATTCACACCATGGGCGTGCACATCTGTGCATCACGCCACACCATGCTCGCCTCCTCCTGGAGGTCGGTCATGGCTAAAGGTACACGATATACGTTGGTCCGTCTAAAGAACTGACCCTCCAGAAGCGACAGACATCTAGATCGCCTAAGTTTCACATGTCCATACAGAACTTGTGGGTCTTTTGTAATTTGTTCCATGGTTGCTAAGGGAGGTTCTGTGCACTTCGCTTATCCCATATGCATGAAGCTGAGAAGGGTTCTACCAAGTCTCCCCCACCTTAACTCTAACCTGCTCTTGGATGTTGGTCCTGCGTCGCGGTCCCCATAAACAATTGCACAACAACGGTACAAAATATTTTATTTTTTCACGTAATATAAAATATGTATTGGCAATTTAACATTGAATTACAAAACAAGGTTAAAGCAAGCAGCAGACGCATCAACAAACATGTGCCCAGTTAAAAATTACAAGTAGATTAAAAACACTTCCACAAACATATGTTAGTAACTATGCAAGCTCTCTTTGGCTCATCTAGAGATATGCTCAAACAGTGGTCACAAGTAACTGCACAGCATTATTACTGATGCTTCAGTGTTTCAAAGTGCAAAAACTTTGGCAAGGAGTGGGGACACTCCTCTGAGTACTTCAAAACTTGGTCCGATTTGCCCGAGTTTTCAAGTAGCCAATGTCTACAGTACTGGTTCTACAGTACTCAACTGAGTAGTGTACACAAAAGCCAATTTAAAGCGAAACTGAAATCAGTCACTTGACTCAGACTCAACTGGCTCGGATTGCCCAGAGGGTGACTTCCAAGGCTGAGTCAATTTTCTTGAAGTGATTTGTAGACAATTCTCTGAAAAAGGTACACTGAGGTCAATGTCATCCAAATCCGCCATAGGTAAATAATAAATATACCCCAAAAAATGCATTTTCCACGTATATCGAAATGTATGATGGTGAAGAGCTCGAAACCCGACATGCTTTTCCAAAAAAAAAAAACACATAACTCTGCATATAGCGTAACCCACGCAAAAAAGAGAGAGAGATTATCAATCTACCCATTAGAGATGAACATTTTATCACTTTACCTCTCTCTATTGATTTAATTTCAAAATACCCATAATGGAACGCATGATCTTGAGTTGGAATAGTTGCAGATCAGTAGAATGTTAAATAGTTCATCTCTCATGGACATTTTTTTTATTTATTAATTTGCCAAAAAATAAAAATAATAAATAAATAAATCGTCGCCTATCAAATAATATTTTCTATGCCTCCCCAAACTTTAAAAATATATCTATTTCACTTATCCAAACAAATTGTTCCATGCCACCCCAACATGAGCACATGCAGAAAACACAAAAGAAATTGCCCAAAATGTTGCATACTTCCAAAATCTAGAGCATGCTTTGCTAAACAATAGATTTTTGTTTTCACAAGAAAAATATCTCAAATAAATTTAAAGGAGTATACATTAGAGTTTGAGCATCAAAAAGTCTTTAGAGTTGGCATTTTATGGAAGTAAACTACAAATCTACAGGTGTGACAAACACTTAAAAACAGAACAGAAATAAATATGTCTAAAGAGACACAAAGGAGCACAACCTGTACACAGACACATTTATATTCACATTAAAAAAGGTGAAGTACAAGTAGAACACCCATAAAACCACACCTGCCACAGATGTGACCGTCATAGAGTCATAGAGGAGGACACACAAAAATGGGAAGGTCAAGGCCCAATGCCTACCCTTTGCCTACTACATACAAAAACAAAAATGGAAAATCGAAGAAAAAGACATGGCGGTATCACTGAAAATCCTGTCCTCCCACAACCACTGTAGAAGACATACCCTAGTCCCCAACCACACTGGACAAACAAAAAGAGGCTTCTATAGGCCATCATCCCCAAAAAGCAAAAACAAAAAAAAAAGTACTCTAAAGGCCATCACCTCTTAACACTTCTCTCATGGCTAGCATCTCCTCCCGATGTTCCACGATATCCGGTTATCATCAAGTCCATGTCCTCATCCTCATCAACAAAATCAATATCATCATCACCAACACCACCACAACACCATCCCCAACACGATCACCATCACCATCACCAACACCAACACCATCGACATACACATCATCCATATCTCCTCTCCAAAGCCACATTAGCCCTAAGTTCACCTGCTGCATGCACATCTCCTCTCGCTCACAAAGCAGACTATCAAGCTCTTCATGCAGTTCCTTCATCTCAAGATAAATGCAATTGTAAAGCTAGCTCTTCATTCAAATTGTTAATCTGGGATCTCAAAGCCTTATTCCCCCTATGAAGCCCATAAATCAATTTCTTCCTCACATGTCCTCCCAGCGTGACGATGATGGGAAAACAAAGGCCCTTCGAGCAACACTCTGCTCAGCATCCTTATTATGTTAAAAAATGGTCCCTTCAAACAAATCGCACATTGCAATCACCATGGACTTACAGATTCATTAATGAGCCACACCAATGTTTAGACGGGATGCAGACCCTTGTGAGCTTACACCAACACTTGGAGCAAGCTTGTATAGGATGCAGCAGTAGGATGCCACACATAAGGTGTAGGTGATGAAGAATGGATTAGCTGAAAAAGCAAAAATCACTCGCATTTTGAAGTTCAAAACTAGCATGAGTACGAGCAAAGAGCCACATAGTACAGCTGACAACATGCCTTAATGAAAAGACAACTTCATTGGCATTCTTGATGGCCCCTTCCAATAAGACTGCCTACTAGACAGTCACAATTGAGAGAACCAAACATGCCATCCATCCCAGCCAAACTTGAATACTAGCTAGTATTCAAGTAGGGGTTTATGAGCACTCATGCCCCAAAACCAAGTGAATGCTAAAGGCACTCACTACCTAGAGCATTTTCCGAGATGAATGCCTTTGACACTCATTTGGAGAATATACTTCACACTTCATAATCCATGGGAGAACCATCTCATTCTAGACTCACAGTTTGTGCAACATGATTCCATCATATAGGCAGTTTACACGGATACCGACATGGGTGTCGGTGTCTATAAGTGTTGCAAGTGTCTAATACATAGGCCTAAAAAGCTAGTACAGACGGACATGTTCATATTTAATTTTTTCAAGTATTATATTTTTATTGATATATGAAGTTTATACTTTCTTAACACAGCAAATTTGGGTGGAGAAATCGCCGACATCACAACAGTTAGGAATTTTTTTCAAGTATTATATTTTTATTGATATATGAAGTTTATACTTTCTTAACATAGCAAATTTGGGTGGAGAAGTGGCCGACATCACAACAGTTAGGACTTTTAGAGCGGTAGTTGTTCAAGTCCTTTCACATTTATATTTTAATAACAAATAGAATCTAATAATAACATACATTATAGCTTCCTTTTCTATTTCACCTTATAAGGTGTCTTGGCAGATATGATGGTGCTATTCAAGATGGAGGAGTTTCAACTCCCATGAAGAACAGGTTGAATAGATTGAGGGAAAGTCATTTTATTATTAAAGGGTCGAAATATTGTATTATTATAAAATAGCTTGCTGGTGACAGGAATTGAACCAAAGACCTATCATAAAGCAATAATCCACTCTACCATTGAGAACTATAGACATTTTATGACCAAAGAATGCAACATATAAAATGACACTTGTATTGAAAGTGTCAACACCATTCTAAAAATGGTGATGTCAGGTGATGTCACTCAACATGTATGCAAAAGTGTTGGTGACATGTCGCCACGTGTTGAAGAGCAACATAGAGATCCATACAGAGTGTCAAGGTAATACCGCCTACAGGTTTGTTGGTCTAGAAAACCAGCTTGTCAGAAGAGATAGCTAGATGGCCTAGTAGAATAAATCAATATAGGACTTGCGAGTCCTTTGTAATATTTTCCATAGGTAAAGGAGAATCTTTGTGCTTTACTTAGAATGCAGGTAAGATGCTAAGAAGAGATTAACATTACTCTACAAGTGACCTGACTCTTCAGCACATGCGCAAAGGGCAGGAAGGCTAGGGATCATGTTATACAAGGAAGAGCCCCCATTATTAGGTTGATGTGTACATAGATTATCCTTCCAGAGGGACGGATATCTCAAGTCACTAAAGTTAAGTGTTGACTATCATCATCATCATTTTAACCTTTTCCCAATTAATTGGGGTTGGCTACATGAATCCTAGTTCTCCATTCTGCTCTATTAAAGGCCACATCCTCAATGAAGCCATAAGTCCCCATATATTTTCGAACTACTTTCAACCACGTCCTTTTGGGCCTAGTCCTTTCCCTTTCAATCCTTCCACTTAGATTAACTCACACCTCCTAACAGGTGTTGTACTTGGTTGTCACCACACATGATCAGCCCACCTAAGTCTACTCTCTCTCATTTTATCTCCTATTGGTGTCATGCCTAAGCCTACTCTCTCTCATTTTATCCTCAATACCCAAAAGGTTTCTTTGGGTTCTCAAGAGACTTGAGACAGGGTGATCACCCCTAATGGTTACTATAAACACATACACTTTCAGCTATGCTGTAGACAAAGGAGCTTAGAAAAGGTTTACTAGAGGAATTTAAGGTGGAAATAGATGCATTAAATGAGACAAAAGATTCAGCATATATGAATAAGTCAGGTTTTGAAAAAGGTAAATGAAAAAGGGATTGAGATGTGAATAATCACGAATAAGTTAGTGAACATTTGAGTAGAAAGATTGTTGATGACTAGATTTCTGCTTAGGAACAAAAATTTCCTATCTTTTAACTTCGCCAAATTCTACAGGCATTCAATTGTGTACACTCTACTAGATCTATTAGAAGCTCCATTAGCCATACTGAATAAAAGAAATACAAGTATAAATCCTGCAGACCATATATGTACCTCATCACCAGATTCAAGACCAAGATGATTCTCATGGAACCAATCCTCACAGATGCAGCACTGTATCATCTCCACCTGCTCCTCAGCATCAAGATCAGGATAAGGCCTTCCACATGTGCAATAAGAACCTTTGAAATTCTGATTGTATGAATTCTCTGTATTTTCTGGATCTTTAGCAGCAAAACGTTTGCAGAAAAACTCCCCAAACTTTGAATTCCCACAGTCACACCTGAATTTTCGCTTAGTCCAGAGTTCCACAACCTTAACAAAAGAATACCAACATCAATTGAAGAAAACGCAAGATATACTCAAGTAATCTGCATACTTTTGGGTTCTCTAAACAAAATTTGCCATAAGAATAGAATAGAGGGAGGATTCATAATTCGGGAAATCACCATCACTCCAATAGCACTAACTTATAGGGAAAAAGAGAACCCAAATCATAGGCTTCATTTCCATAAAAGTGTCAAGTATCCAAACTTTTTCCAACAACATGATTAGAGATAATAGAAACGGAAGTTCAAAGTTCAAACAACTTGACATATGCCCCGGGGCCAGAAATCTCATGGTAGAAATTGAAATAAGTAACAAATTTCTTTCATTTTGCAAGCCTACTTTGATCTAGAAAACCATACTATTTTGAAAGACAATTTTGCCTCTTGTGTGCTTCCTTGCCAGTATGACTTTCCTGGATTATACTTAGCCATAAAAGAAAAAAGAGAGACGAAGGATTAAGACTAGTTAGTAGAGCGAACGCTGTTAATAGAGCGAGTGCACTAGTCTCTTAGCAAGGTAGCTAGTTGAGTTGCTTGATTCCCTCTTATTTAAACGAGCGATCTAAGTCCTGGACTACAGCACTTGGAACCATAAATCTTCCCATAATGTAACGGTAAATAACATAGTTATGAGTCATTTGGTACACTCTAATTTTTATTTTGTTACTAATCATTAATTTAACTGGATTTCTTGGTGAAGTGATCCTATTCCATAGATGAGCTACATGCCCTTCTTTATCATCCCCTCTCCCTTTTTGGACGTGGAATGAAATTGGTTGACTACACACTAGGCTTTTCCTCGTCTCTTCTCATTTGTATAATGCGAAATTGGAACATGAGCTTCTCTCCAAGCTTCTCTTTCCACATCAGAAGTCAAGATGATAAATATATCCATTACATCTTCACAAACAACCAATTTGGTACTATTTTATGCAAATGTCCCAAGGTAGGTTCATTTTACACATGGGCTGACATATCGCTGTCTTTTCTTTTCTTATTTTGATGCTGTTAACTGTAGTATAAAAGGAATAAGTACAAGGATGTGCAGAGGGAGCCGACAGAGGCCTCTTGCCAAAAGAATAGACTACCCCAGAGGGGTAGCCCTTCACAAAAAAATGTTTGGGCTTAAAACAAGAACCCGAAAAGGGTAAGACAACTGAAAAACGAAAAGTGGGCTAAAACATCTGCCCCATACATGTGTATAATAGTAAAAAGAGTCCAAAATACAGTCTATGAAAGACCCAAGGTACTGGTAGACGCTCCATCTTTAGCCAGTTGATCTGCCAAGGCATTGGATTCCCCCCAAATATGCCTCCATTAAGACGGCCATATCCCTGCAAATGTGAGTAATCTCATCAAAAATTGGAGCTAAATACCAGAGGTGGGGGGGGGAGGGAGGCCCAGATGCCGGGCCTGCCGCCCAAGTGATTATATTACGTGCATCTTCCTCATTGATAAGAGGTTGTGGCCACGAGGGATCGAAGAGCTTGAGGCCAGTGTGGAGTGTCATTGACTCAGCCAGTTGGGAGTCCGTGTGGCCAATGTCTTGGAAAAGGACATAACAATATTGCCAAGGTGGCCACAAAGGACCCCACCCACTCCTGCCGGCTTGGGATTTCCCAGTGAACACCCATCAAAGTTAAGTTTAGTAAGGCCCGCCGGGGGGAGACTAGTTGCTAGACCTGGGGACCTGCGGCAAATGGGTGAGGAGGATTTCTTTGCAGCGGTGCAAGAAAGTTGTGGTCGAGACTCCTCTAAAAGTCCTGTGTTTGGAGGCCCAAAATCAACCTCCGAGGTGATTTTGTGAAATAGGGCCAGAGGTTCGCATAGTGTCCCTTGGAAGATACTCGAGTTTCTTTCCATTCAAATCGTCCAGATCGAGCTGCAATGGAGGATTTCCAAAGGAGCCTCCCAATAGTAGGCCACGGCATGTCCTTTGAAAAGTTGTAGAGTGTCGATAGGGAGGGAGGAGTGACCTAGGAGAGTCCGAAGAGGCGAAGGAGTAAGCTCCACAACTCCTGAGCAAGACTACAATGTATGAAAAGTTGGGGGTTGGTCTCTTCCTCACTGGTACACATCGCATAACGATTATGTATAGGAACTCCCCTCTGTTGGAGTTGGTCAATTGTGAGGGCCTTTTTGGAACTTTCAATCCAGTTGAAGGCTTGCACTTTAGGAGGGACTTTGGAGGACCACACCTGAGCTACGATAGATTTCGAAGAGAGGAAAAGTGGGACGTAACAACAATTTCTTATAGAAAGAAGCCATCGAGACGGAACCCGAAGGAGAAGGGGTCCATACCAAGCAATTTGGCCCAGAAAGGGCTAGGAAATTTGAATGAAGCAAGGAGGACAGAGAGAGAAAATCAGTGGTTTCGGGATCAGTGAGAGGGCATCTGAAGGACGGGTTCCAAACTCTAAAATTACCCAAGAGGGGCATCTCATGTGTGATTGAAGATGATTTGTCGGTGGCTAGAGAGAAAAGAGAGGGGAAAAGGTCTCTGAGTGGGGTGTGGTGGCCCAGCCAGAGGTCGGACCAAAAGCAGATGCAAAGGCCTTCCCTAGGGTGGAAGCGAATGTTTTTCTAGAAGAAGGTGAGAGAGGACAAGAAAGACTTCCAAACCCATGTGGCTCTGCTCAGTGTTCTCCCTTCCAGCAAGGAGGGATCTTGTACTTGCAGCAAATGACTTTTGAGTGGCAAGAGGCCACCACCATTTGCAGAGCAACGTGGTATTATGTTTTCTCAAGATCCAGATGTCGAGTCCACCTAAATGTTTGGGTTGGCAAACTTTTTCCCAGGAAATTAGGTGATATTTTTTGGCATTGGCATCTCTTGTCCACAAGAAGTTCCTCATTAACTGTTCTAATCGGTTGGCGACTACTGCCGTCATATGGAACAGGGACATATGGTAAATCAGGGTGTTGGCCAGGGTGGCCTTGATGAGGGTAGATCTTCCTGCGAATGAAAGGAACCTTCCTTTCCACTCGACGAAACGTACATCGACTTTGTCAATGATGAGGGACCATTGCCTCTTTTTAGGTTTACCGAGGCCCAATAGCATGCCAAGGTAACTCATAGAAAGGTCTTCCACTTTGCTCTCCCAATGAGGAATGAGGGCTCTTGTTTCAGACCTAGTGAGGGCAACCCCTATCATGGTCGATTTCTCCACATTGACTTTGAGGCCCGTGGAAAACTCAAAGCATTTAAGGAAGGGGCGTAGAGTTTCGATTTCTTGTGGGACAGCATTTAAGAAGATGAGGGTGTAGGTGAGAGAGGATTGAACCCCTTGGACTGCTCTTGAAGCCAGTTAAAAGACCCAACCGGTACATGAGGGTGATCGATTGGCTGAAATCACGAAGAGGAAGGGGAAAGAGGGTCAAAGGCCTCTAGATGATGGGAAGTAGCCTTTTGGAGATCCATTGATAAGTACGGAGAAGAAAGGCCGAGAATAGCAGCCTCCCGTCCACCATCTCCATCTCTCCCCAAAGCCCATCAGGGCTATCGTTTCGTAGAGGATGCCCAATCCAAGTGGTCGTATGCCTTTTCCCAATCGATCTTGAAAATGAGCCCATTCGGACCATCATATCGCTATCTTTTCTTTTTGAATTTGAATATCCCCATCTTACCATGAAAAATCTAAAATATTATCATTTTCTGACACACTATTTTCCTTCCTTTGTTTGCTCTTAGTTTTTTTTTTTGAAACTGAACTTTCCTTTGTTTGCTCTTGTTACAGTAATTTAATTTAAAAAAAAAAAAAAAACAGAAAACAAAAAAAGATCATCACAATATATCATTGCATCCAAAAAACCATTGACATCATGTATTTTCATATTTCCTCTAAATAAATGAAGAAAATCACACTTTCCCAAGTTACTTGGAATACAGAGTGGGGGATGGAAACCAAAGGCCTCATCATTTCAGTGATTGGAGTGCTTTAATACCATTGCTCCAAATCATTTCATTGTCTGATACTCTGCCAATCCTCATTTCAAGAAATATTTATTTTATTCTTTTTTATTTTGGATTTAACCATTTGGAAAATACTAACTGGGAGACCTATTGCAAAGTTATGGACATTATTTTGATAGATTGACTCAAAGAAATAAAATCTCAATATGAACATGAACCGTTCATCGCATCCAAGAAAATGGCATGCACTTTATTTTAATGCAAAGATGACATAAAAGCTGAACCCATATTCACATAAACCAAAGTCAGTTTCTCTTTAGGTAAAACTACCGAGGGATCTTGAAGGTTTGAAACCTGCAATAAAGTACCTCATGGCCATCATGACAAGACAAGCAACATGCTGTACAAACACCTGCATTGCCTGCCGGTGTACATGTCAGGCAAGAAAAGACAGCTTGCCTCTTCATATACCCCTTTATATATGTGCATTCCTCGCCCTCATCTCCTCCCAAGACCAAATCAGCCTCCTGCCAAAACAATTACATAGAAAAATAAATATATTTACTTGAGAGCAAAAAATTAGACTAGCAAAGACTCTTAACCAGGGGTTGAAATATATATGATTATGCATTGATTTCGTCCAACACAAAAAATCTATAAAAAATAGAAAGAAACAACTATATATTTAAAGTGCTTCATGAATTATACACATGGCATGTCAATGAAAACAACCACATGTAAGAAACAGAAGATACAAAGTGCACTGGTTTGAGCTAAACACCATCTAATATTACAAAAAAAAATTGCAATGCCTTTGGAATGAACAATTTAAAAAAATAAAAGGAAAACAACACATAATCGCTTTTTTGTATATAAGAGGACAGAAACTCAATCTCCATAAATCCCAAGATGAAGAAGGATGAAACAAAATGAAGCGTCTTCGGCTTTCTTCAATAGATGGTTGTACCAAGCAATAGCAGCAGAAACAGCTTAAAAAATAAAAAATCTGACAATATTACAAGCCCAGTATAACATGTTAACATCAAGTAAAACCAGAAGCAAAAATTAGAGTACCAAATATACTAAATTTTACCAATTACATGAATGTTAAACACTCAAATCATTTTGAGCATGCCCAAAAACAGCATGAGAAACCTAAATACCAAAAGAATACAATAAATAAACAATTCAATTTATCTCAGATTAATAAACCGCTAGAATGGCCTAACGAGCCCTAAAACACCATCTCCACAACAATCCTCCGAAAACCAAATATGAACCAAAAAAAAAATCATAGTACCAACTCTTGTGCCTCAACGCCCTTTATGTACTCATCAATTGTTATAGTCTGCTCAACTTCATCCTCAAAAGCATCAGCCATTTCGAGAAAACTGCAATTGTATAAGAAAAACCAATAAATCAAAAAACCCTGAGAACATGAGAACAGAATAAGGTTTTACGGGTGAAAATGCAAAAATAGGCAACACAGGCCTGACGAGAACGGGGACAACTGATTGAAAGAAGGAATCTTGAACCTTAATTGTAAAGCTGGATGTGTGCCCTAAAAGTCTGATGGAAATTAGAGCATAGAGAGTTGCAGTGCTTAAGAAGCTATCAAAAAAGCACAGAGAAGCTTACTTGAGTAGAGAGAGAAAGTCTAGAGAGAGAGGGAGCTTAGATCCCCAGAAATCCAGGGAATTTAGGGTTTGATGCCCTCCAAATGGCTTAAGAGAGGGGTAGAGAGAGCATGCGAATGCTTTGGGAAAAGGGGGTATGGTAGTGAGAGAAATGACAGGGCGGGCGGGAATAGAGAGTGTGCGGGGGCTTTGGGGTATTAATGGGTGCTAAGTTTCTCTCTCTCTCTCTCTCTCTCTAAATAAGCTTTTGGGCCTTTGAGGCATGCTTTTTCCCGCCAGAAATTGTGCTTGAATTGATGCTTTTTCCTTCTGCCACCAATGTCCCGATGGTGTAGAAACCCCTTTGAATGTCCTTTGCGTCTACCCTTACAAATGTGCCCAAAATCTCTCTCTCTCTCTCTTGAATGTCCACCGGTACCTTTAGAAATGTGCCTAAAATCTCTCTATGTAAAATCAATCTCTCTCTAAAGAATGTGTCTAAATTTTCTCTATCTCACGTTATTTCTTTTGTTTTCTTTGTCAAAAGAAAGAAAAAAAAGAAAATTTTACTTTAAAAATAATAATAGATTGTATACAATGAGACTATTTACCTTTGATATATTGTGGTAATAATTATTTAGAACCATTTAATGTAAAATTTGAGAACTTTAGTGTGTCCGTGTCTAGTAAAGTTCGAAAAAAAAAATTTATATATTTGAGTTTGGTCAATGGAATAAATGCAGCCACCAAATTTCACAATCAATGGTCAAAATCGATTACCACTATCTTGTAGCAAAGATAAATGTTCTCATTCCATACTTATACTCTATTATGTTGTCACGAAGACTTAACTGTGGATTAAATAAAAAAAACATAAGCTTGTTTAGAAATTTTGGACAACAAGCCGAAGCCTAAGAAACACAAGGATTAAGTCAAATGACGCTTACAATTGCAAATATCAAGGGTAACCATTAACAAAATAGAGCAATGAGGAAGGAATGTTTTAGTGAAATAATGTGAGGGATTAGTCCAGGACAGTAGCAACAATTAGGAATGAATACAATCACTCCTCTAGTAAATCTTCATATGAATTTATTAATACACAGATTTTTCTCTAATTTTAACCCCACATAGGTATTTTGTGGATTTACATGGTAGCATATATTTTTAAGAAAATTACATTTATGCTCTAGATGTAGGGATGGCAAAGGATCAAGTCCGGTTGGACCCGGACCCATACCCCAATAGCATTTGGGTCCAGGTTTTGGATCCAGACTCGGACCTGACCCGTGGAGTCCAACTTTTGGACCCATACCCATACCCATTGGGTTTCAAAGTCTATATTGTCGGGTCCATTGGCACCCTCACTATGAGTTTCTTTTTTATTTTTTGCTCTTTTTTTACCATCATATATCCATATTATTGGCAACAGGGTCATAATCATCAACCACTAGATTTCAAGCCATTTGATTTGTCCTTTAATAGCCAAAGATAACTATGAGTTCTTATTGTATATTATTCTTAATATACCCAAACGAATAGGGTTAAAGTATTTTATTTCCAACAATTTACCAGTACAGGTTGGGTCTCACAGGAACCGACCCGTAGATCCAGATGTTGGGCCCACATCTGAATCTGTGTCGGGTATTCCTAACAGATCCCAAGTCGGGTCCGGGTCCATTGCAACCCTTATCTAGATGGTGTCCCCCGCCCCGCCCCAAACTCTTCCCCTTTGGAAGTGTCTTGTGACAACATCCGACATTTCTAATTTGTTAGGAGACAATTTTATATCAAAACAAGTGATATCATTTCAAAACATGTCAATTGTGTTTAATGACGAGAGAGAGAGAGTGAGATAAATATTATTTTGCGGCTTGTTAGAGAGAATCTATAAATCCTTAGGTGGTGTTTTTCGGATTAGTAGATGGATTGTTTGTTGCAATATGCAGGCAATGATTGATACATGTAAACTTTTGGATTTTCACTCTTTAGCGAAACGGAACGATTTGAACCTATTATGTCAAAGAAAAAGAAAAAGAAAAAAAAGATTTGGATCAAGAATATACTATTGATTAATTCCCGGATCCAATTGATGCATCGTTTAAAAACTGTGTTTAGAGAAAAAGAGAGTGATATTTTAGTTGGAAAAAATGGATTTAGTTGTACAGAGAGAAGTTACAAAAGAAATGGCATAGTTAGAGATAAAAGATTTAGATAAAAAATACAATAATGATGTTGTTGAAAAGAGAAAAAACATGGTTAAAAAGGTACCTAATGTAAATTGATTAAAATCACATGTAGACGTGCACTCTGCTAACACCCTTGAAAAAACTATGGATTCGAAGTCTACCACTTGAAAAAACTATGGATTCGAAGTCCATCGTGTCAATTGTGAAGTACACTAATAAGGACGCGGTTAGCATGCGGCCAGCCCGCATATTGTATAAATGCAGGCTTGGCAATAAATATATTTTATTTTTTAAAAATAATTTAATCCTAATTTTTAGATAATATATAATCTTTAATATGGAGATAATGTATATGAAAAAAGAAATAAATAAATTGAAAACTAGAAATAATAATTCTATTAAGAAAACAATTGACCGCTAGTTACAATTATTTTTAGATTGACCACTAATTCGCATCCATCTTTAAGATGGATGCTTTATACCTCCGGATGGCATATTGTAGAAATGTGGTCCAGCCCACATAAACAATTGTTCAAAAAGTAAATATATACAATGAGACTATTTACTTTTGATACAAGAAGGTAACTATTGTTCTTGACCGTTAGATTTGAGGTTCGGTACAGAGTCCAAAACAAAATGTCTTGAATGTTGTTACATACTTTTCTCTATTGGATTTCACATTCAATGGTTAAAAGTAACTAAAAAAGTAGTGTCTTCATTTCCATTTTCTTAAAAGTTCATAGGTTAAAAAGTTATTTTTTTTAATTGGTAAATTAAGAAAATAACTTTCAAGATGCATAGGCATTAGAAGAAAATAGATTCCAAAATTTGAAAATAGTGCATATTGTAATACATTTATGATGGTCAATTTTAAAGATTTTCAAGTTTTCATAGATGTGCTCAATCCGCATTATGTTTTAGGCTTTAAATTTTATAATTAAAGATGAAAATACATTTTAAGATTATCACAAAGATTTCAAGTAATGAAACCACATTTCTCGATACTATTTGTAGGTGTGCTTGACTTTGATTGTTTTGAGTTTGGGCTCTATATAAACCGGCCGGACCCTTTAATTTTTGTACAAGAAGGCCGTGGTTCTAAACAATGAAATTAGAGTTCACTTCAAAAATTTCACTAAAAGAGGTTGTTTTGATGCACGAACATATTCAAATTGAGCATCTCAATATCAAGATGCATGGGCATGAGAAAAAAAATGGATTTCAAGTTTTTGAAATAGTGCATATTGTATTGTATTATGGGACCATTAATTTTCAAGATTTTTAAGTTTTCATAGGTATAATCGATCTACAATATTTTTAAAGCTTTAAATTTTATATTTAAAGATAAAAATATATATGAAGTCTGTCATAAAGATTTCCAGCTCTAATACTATTTGAAAATGCGCACTACTTTGATTGTTTAGATGCCTCGGCTCCATTATTACCACTTGATGCCGAGAATATCCTTTTATAGCATATCCATTTAAAAAGCATCATGGAGGAAAATTTGATATTAATTTATTAGAGAAAATGCCTTGAACTCCTCGTCTGTTTCCAAAATTTACGGTTTTTCAAGCAGAGTTTGCTTCACTGGGATCAAGGGTTTTGTGGCCTTCCATACAGGCTGTTTTCTTCGACAGAGGAAGAATTTAGGGTTTTCTCTCCCCAATTCTCTGAAACTCAAGCAAAATCATTCTTCAATGGAAGAAGAACACAGTTATGTGTACTCTGTGTGGGCTATTCCACCATTAGATGTGAAGCTTAGGCTCAAAGCGCTCATGGAGAAGCTCAGAGATGAATTTGGAGGACCAGAGTTTGAGCCTCATGTAACAGTTGTTGGGGCAACTAGGCTCACAGAAAAGGATGCCATGGCAAAGCTTGAAGCTTGCAAGGAATTGAAGCCATATAAATGCAGGGCAATTAAGGTGGACAAAGGGAGCTTCTTTTACCAGTGTGTGTACCTTCTTCTTGATCCTACTCCTGAGGTAAATGAATGATGCTGCTTTGTTTTGTTTTGTTTTGAGTTTCTTATGAATATGTAAATTGGATATGGAGATTGGGATTTGTTTATGGTAATTTGGTTATGCGTGTGGTTTCTGTAAGGTGTAATCCACAATATTTAGAGGTAGGTGCATCTTAAAAATCCACTCAAAAGGCTGCTTCCGGAATTGAAAAAGAATTGTTTTTTTTTCTTCTAATTATTAAATTTAAAATTCTAGTTATGGTGCTGACCAACAAGAACTATATGCACTTGAAAATCTTGAAAATGGATGGTCTAGATAATGCGTTACAAAAAAAATTTAGGACTTGAAATTCAGTTTTTTTCATGTGCATGCATCTCATGAAATTCAGTTTTTTTCATGTCCATGCATCTCAAGATCGTGATAATGAATCCTAGGGATTTTGACATTATAATAACCTTTTTATTAATTTTTGAGATGATATATATATATATATATATATATATATATATATATATATATTAGTTATTACTGTGTTTGTTTTATTGGTTTTGCGTTCTCACCAATACAAACACAAACACATAATTTTACAGTCTTTGTTAAATCCCCTCTTTCTCTATCATTATTCGACCCACATTTCATCTTGCTTTTATGAGCTTTTTTTTGGGTGACCAGTTTTAATGTGCTTTGGTACATTAATTTGGTATGCTACAATAGAGCAGATTTCTTTTAAATGGATTATTTGTCCATTTAGTTGTTGAGGGCTTCGGTTAACATTTGAATATATTGTGTATATGGAAAAGGATAGTTGTTGAGGATGTTAAGATGGATGAGTAGCAAAATAAGAAAGGAAAGAACTCGAAATTAATCTATTTGGCAAAGTTTAACAGTGGCACCGCGTTAAGATGATAGAGAGTAGACTTAAGTGGCCAGCCATATGTGGCATCGACTTAGTACAACATCTGTTATGAAGTATGAGTTAGTTCAAGTGGAAGGACTGAAAAAGGCAAGAAATAAAGTCCAAAAAAACGTGATTGGAAGTAGTCTGAAAAGATATAGAGGTATGGTCTCATTGAGAGTATAGCTTTAAATAGAGCATAATAGTGAACTAAGATTTATGCAGCCGATCCCAATTAATTAGAAAAAAACTATATCGAAAACAAAAATTTGAAAATTAGTGGCTAAGTGTTCGTCCTCTTTCCAAAAGGGTATTCTTAAGCACTTCTCATATGGTTCTCTCGCTCTAGCTTATGAGGCAAATGGTTCATTAGTCATGATTTTGATTTTTCTTTTTCAGATGATGGAGGTGAATGCTCATTGCATCAAGCATTTCGGATGCTCGAATGCAACTCGTGAGTCTTCCGGGCCCTGATTTTTATTTCCTCTAGCTTCTATAGCCGGTAGTCAAATTTATCAGAAAATTGAATTCCATGAATGTTTCATTATTGTACCTTGGCTTTTGAAAATGTTTATATTAAGCTTTTCAATCAATTAAAGACGATTTGAAAGTTTTTTCCTTTTTTTTTTTAAATTTGCTGAAATATTCAAGGGCGATTAAGTTATTTGGAGTGGACTCGGTCGAGTTACTCGCCCTTGATGTATGTAAATATAGTACATGTGTATGTGTGTGTGCTTGTGCACCTCTCCTATCTACAAAAAAAAAAAGAACATGTTCAAACAGGATACGAACCGGATTTCCTTTTTGTATCCCTTTCTTTGATGTTTACCAGTATATGATCTCTTCGCTTCTCCTTGTGTATTTTTCAGCTTATATGCCCCATTTGAGCTTGTTATATGGCGACTTAACAGAGGAAGAGAAGAAGAAAGCTCAAGACAAAGCAAACAGCCTTGACCAAGGCCTCTGCAACCTGGACTTTGAGGTTTCCAGCCTTGCGTTGCACAAGACCGATACTGAAGACAAAACCCTAAAATCATGGGAAAAGGTGGCTGAGATCCCACTTCGAGAGAGGGAGTAGGTAACTTCATCTTTGCCCTTTATTCCAATGAATATAAATGGGCTTTTGACCCTACAGGACTTTCTTAGGCTGTCTTGTCCAACTTTGTGATATTCTTGAGAAACAAGCTTAAACTCAAGGGTTAAATATGCTAGAAAATAGCATGTTTATATATTATTATAGTATTCTCATTTTGGATTTTTTTTTTTTTTTTGAGGAATAATAGCATGTTCGCTTCTTAAGATGGAAGAGAGTTGTGGTTGTCATGTTGCTCTTGGATTCGTTTTTTCATTATTACCAAAAGTAAAAACATGAAGAGGAATCGACCTTGGGTCAAAACGGTAGCAGCAAAATTTTCATAACACATCTCAAGTTCCATTCCTATGTAACCTTATGAAAAAAAAAAAGAAAAAAAGGTGAAAACATGAAGGGGGGATGTGAGAGGAAGTCTCCAGTGCAATTGAAAAGCCAAACAATTCGCATATCCTTCCCTCTAGACGTTGAAAACCTGAATGCAAACGATTAAACTCCACTCATATTTGACTAATTTTTCATTACATTCATGCAAATTCCAATTTTACCATAACCAAATCAGAAAGGCAGTCTGCCCGGTTCGACCACCTGGTTCGACCATGTATCGGACCCAAATTACCCAAATTAGTTTGGTCCAGTAAAACATCCAATTCTTGAGGAAACTGAAATTATGATGTAACTAGTGTAATTCTTCCAAGATATTTTAGGGTATTACCAGTTGAACCGGATTGATGCTGGTCAAAGTGCTAAATTGAATCACTATACATATTACAAGCTCATATACAAGTAAAGAAATCATTAAAGAATAAAAAATATGCAATCAGGTATTAAACAAGTATACGCTATTCATTTTAAAAGGTAGTATTCATCTATCAAATACTGGGTATCAAACATATTTGTAGATATCGACCAATTTATGACAGGAGCAACCATGCACTCAAACTTTAGGTTCACTGGTCAACTTTTGCTGGGAAGAGTGACAGAGATGTAAGACCACTACCAAGCTACATGTAAACAGGAATGGCTGCCATATATTGCAAACTGTAATTTGAAAAGCTCTCTCTCTCTCTCTCACACACACACACACTCAAAACGCATGCCGACATAAAGCATGAAGACAAACAGATACGAAGATGGCGTTTCACAATGTTCATTGTCTTGTACGTTAGCTGCAAACAAAGCTGGGTATTACAAATGGTAATGTCAATCTTACAGTTTTAACAGCCTTTGCTGTTAGAAACCTTCTCTGTAAAGGCCAGCCCATCTGGGATTTCCAACAAATAAACATTATGGTGACAAAAATGAACTTACCTGAAACCCTCCAAATAAAAAAGACAAGTAACTGTATAAATATATCACAGATTCACAGCCAATTGAAGCGATTTAGTGTCCACTCTCTCCTATTGGTTCCCACAGCACCTGCATCCATCAGCAGCCAAAAAATTCTCCAAGAAATCGCCTGGCTCAATTTTATAAGAAGAAAATTCCAGAAAACTTTAATCTGATTTAAGGATCAAGAGAACATCCTAAGGAAGTTATTCGCATAGGCCATTGGCTTCACATCCGGATGAGGCTGCAAGTTAATTTCAGCAGCATATAGTCATTATTTAGCAAACATGATCAAGGATTTGCCTGAACAGTAGATACTACAAAGCAAGGACATGAAAATGAATTATACAAGATACAATAAAACATGAATTCAAACATAAATATTACTCACCACCGCAGAAAATGAGACAATGTCTGGCTTCAAATCTGGGGCCTTGAACCTTATGAAAGCCCCTTTGTTACCCATCTGAATCAATTATTTACAAAATTGTTAACTTAAGGGGTGAATGCTAAGCTACTGTTGGAAGAAGAAAGAAAATACACACAAAACAATGAATTAAAGCTCAGCCACATTTGCATACATGAACCACTGAAGGCAAATAGTGTCATAAGTTCAGCTAAGAGAGTTCTGTAAACAAAAAGGAAAAAAGAAAAGAGCCCATGAGAATGGTGGGGTAAACTAAAATATGTCCTGATCATTAGGAGGCTAAATTATATCTAAATTCCTCATATGATATATAGTTGATGATGCGAGAATTCCATAATTTTAACTCATTTTTGTAAAATTACGTACCCTGCAAACTTCTTACATGTAACAAGAAAACGATACTTCATCCATCCAATTTCAATAATTTCTAATAAATATACAGCCTAATTTCTTGCTCCTAACTCCGGCGTAATAATGTCTTCAGAAAATTATGAAGTATAATAAATAAAAAGAACTAGGGGAAGAGAGGCCAGGATACCTCTTAATAATTCACATTTCTCCAGCACCTGCCTTCATACTAAATTTATTGCTCTTGAATTTGGCACTCGTGTCCTTTCAGGTTTAAATTTGTAAAGCTTGCCTCACAGTCATACCATATGAGATGCTCTAAAGATAACTCACAGCCTATCCTGATGTCATGGGGAAGAAAAATACCGCCAATACTTTTATTCATAATTCTTCATTATACCATACCTGGATCTACCAAATGAAACCTCCAGCAGGCTATTAATGGTAACCCCCCCCCCCCAACCCCATAAGTTTGGGGGAGAATATTATAAAGAGGTATTAGCATCAGTTCGTAATGCTGCTTGTTCTCTGTATCACTCAGCTCATGCAGGTCCCAACTTTTATGTGTAGAACTCAGTGAAAGGAAAAAAGGAAAAAAAATTGGAAGAGTTGGCAAGTCTTCTAATAGACTCAGCAACTCCCAAGTTTCCACTAAATCAATATAAACTCATCAGGTATGCACTTGTCATAATAAATAACGGTTTCAGGACCAAAAAATAAGAATTCTATTTCTGACAATTTCTCAAAAAAATTTGAAGACCCCAAATTGCCTACATTCTAACTATAATCATCTCCAAAGATAGGAAGGTGGACTTCAGGAGTATTTCGGGATTATTTATGTGCGATCAAAGAAAGAGAAAACCTTACGGAGATCGATCTTCCTTTAAGATTCCACAAATTTCGGATATGTATCGTTTGGATTTTGATTCATTTTTTTACATCTTTACTTCCACAAAAAATATTTGGATCTAGAGACATCTAGGGTTTATTTTCTAGATCTTTCTTATTCTTTAACCTCATATGCCATTTTGAAAACCTCAAGATAAATTCCAAAAATAAAAAAAAAATAAAAAAGTGAAATATCACAATCTGAAAATGGTAATATAAATATGTAAAAATATCAATAAAAGGTTAAAACCCCTTATAAAAGCATTAATGGGTCTAAATGATCCCATTTTACACTGCAAGGATTACTTTTAAATTTCATTTCAATCGGGTACCTCTAAAAAAAGGAATTTTCTAAGATGCTTAAATAAACGACGTCACGCCCTTGTTCAGGATTGGGAACCCTGCACATTGCTTCCTCATAGGGGTGGCAATGGACCCAAACCCGACCTGGGTCCAGGTATGGGTCCAAAACTGCGACCCGGTGGTCGGGTCCGGTGTCCAAGTTTATAATTTTGGTAAGAATTGGTTATTCAAAATGGAATATCGAGGAAGAATTCAGTCGTAAGATAAAAAGAAATTTTTTTTATCATGCTTACCCCTTTTGAGCTTTGAAATACCAACACGGGAATAATTGAAATATTTGATTCAAAGCTTATAACTGTACTCCTTTAGATTTTGTGGAAGAGATACAATTTTTTTTATTGAGAAGAACGATTCGCTAAACAATCCATTAAATTAATAATTCCATTGAATGATTTAATTAGTCAAAACAAAATTAGCCGTACCGCTAGAGTCCACTTCTTTCCCATACTACTAGTGGAAGGGAAAATGTAAAAACTACCACTAAAGCAGCCCAAACAAGACTTGCTATATCCATGTGCATCCCTTGTTTCTATGAATACGAAAGTATTATTCCATTATTGACAACTAATAATAGTGGAATTGTAACTAATAATAGTGGAATTGATGGTGCAAAGTTAAAATGGGTTTCTAACTCAGCGCTAGTGACAAACAGATCCAATCGATCCAATTGGAATCATTGTTTTGAAATGCGGCCGCATCACCGCATATGTGGCCACATAATGCGCTACATGCTCGAAGCACATCGCATGGGGAACATATGCGCTTTGGTGGGATGCACCTGCATATGTGCCACATCCCACCGCATGGTGCATATGTGCCGCATACCCAAACACAAAATACGGCCACAACTGTGGCTGCTTTTGGATCAAACGAAGAGGAAAAAACAATTTGGTGGAATTTGCTTTTTGAAAAAATTGTGAATTTGTTCTAGGTAATGGTTGGGTTGTCTATTGGGGTAGGCGTTGTTTTGAAGAAGTTCGAGCATAGATTCATCAACATATCAAGGGTTTCAAGGGCCAAGAAGATATCAAATTTTTTTTCAATCAATCGGTAAGTTTTTACTTCCTAAGTTCGAACACCTTTTATTTTCTTGGGGCAATGTCTTCTTCACAATCTTTGAGTAGCAAGGATTCGAATTGAAAATATGCAAAACTCAAAATTCCAAAAGATCGAAATTGTGTTATTTAAACTCGTGGAAGTACTTATAGCAGGTGTATTTTTTGACAAAAAGAACACTTAGCCGGAATTACTAGGAATGTCAAAGCATGCCCACAAGCTACCACAGAGATTAAAAAGGCGATTAGAGAATACATGGATAGCTTAAAAAAACAAAAAAGATTATGAATTATGATAATGTGAAGTCTTCTAAGTTCTAATGTCTTCTATAAAATTTGCTTTCAAGTTTCTAGTTTCTACATTCTATTTTTAATGTCTTCTATCAGGAGATTCAAAGTCTCCGACAATTGATAATATTGGAGTTAATGAATAAATTAAATACCTACTATTACTTAAATCACCTTCATATCTTTTTCCATGCATTAACCTATTTTTTAAAAAAAACGGAATTTTCTTATATTTATTGACTGCATCGACTTGATGCACCCGCATCTGGACCGCATCGGCCCCCAGACCGCATCCCGCATTTTAAAGCACTGCTTGGAATGTGCTCATCTGCGCCTGAACCAGAGATGTAGATTACCAAAATGTGTTGATTGTTCAGGATTCCCAATCCTGAACAGGGGTAAAATTTAGGCATTTTTTCAAAAAAATTTCAAGGTACCTAATTGAAATGGAAGTTAGAAAGTAATCCTTGCTGTGTTCAATGGGATCATTTGGTCCCCTTAGTGATTTTGTAAGGGGCTTTGGGCCTTTTAACTGATTTTTTTCCCTAAAAATATATATGCCAACCTCATCAGATGTAAATGTGAAAGCGAAAATCAACACGTAAACTTATATTTCGTTCTTTTTTTTCCCATTCTGTTATTGGAATTTCGCATATGCCCATTTTCATTTTCCCATAGGTTAGTAAATAATCAGAAGTAGTTCATAGTGAAACATCAGACTAGATCAATATTACTAAGTAACAAATCATTAGGATCTGCAAGAAATGGAAAAACATTTTTCAAGCAGCAAAGAGGATTATGCATTACGTGATAGCAGAAACAAATACCACCCAAGAAAGGGGTATAGGTTTTACCTTCCACAAATATCCAAGTATAGACTAGAGAAAACATGCAATGAAATGGACTCTCCCTCATATTGGTTGGTATAATTTTCTGGCAAACAATGACATTATCATGAAATTCCTATTGGGATAGTACACTAAAATACTATATATGATCAAATGAACTACTGGAAACCATGGTCATCAGGTCACCTGGCTGGTCCCACTATTCTGTGGATAGCAATGATCATAGGACTATAATTTTCCCTCGTCCATAGGAATTAACTTCTTATTTTCTTTATGTTCTTTTCTTTTTACCTTTGAGTAGTTTTAAAAGGATAAGTTCCTATTTTCAGTAAACAGTAAATACGGGTTCAGTGACATTACCTGATCGCAATAATTAGGAGCTGAAAACACGGTAATCAGCCTACCATCATGTTCAATCTCATATCCCTCATCCTTCACTTCATGAGATCGAACCAATAGCTCTGCCACAAGAGTTGTTTATGTAAAGGAGCTGCACCAGAATAAAAAATTTGCACAACACACAAATGGACAGCAGTAAAACTAGCAATTACCTAAGTTATTTTCCTGCAAAAATCTCTTCGTAACGTCTTCACCAAAGGAAAGACCTACGCCACGTTTGCTAGGCCCACGTCCAAGACCCGGTTGTGGATCACTCCATAGCAACTCACACATCAACCCTGATGAAATATTTGTAACATTTGAAAAATGCTCTCAAAGAGAAAATATATTCAATAGGAAAAAGTTCATATAAGGGTGAGGCCCCAAACAATCAAATTAAGGAGCACTTCAAAAATTCACTAGAATTATGAAAAACCCTCAATTCAATCATCTCGACCTCAAGATGGAAAGACATGAGAAAAAATAGATTTCAAGTCTTGGAAATAATGCATTTTGTAATGTATTATCTAGACCGTCAATTTTCAAGATTTTCAAGTGTTTATAGATCTGCTCGATCTATACTATTTTTTAACATTTAAATTTTATATTAGAGATGGAAATAGGCCACCACAAAAAATTTTGATTCTGAAACAACATGTTTTGGCACTATTTGAAGGTACGCCTTACTTTGATTGGTTAGGGCCTCAGCCTTATACAAACCACCCCCCATTCAATCTGATTGAACTCATCTCTACAGGGGTAAAAGTTGCAAGCGCATAATAAGAAAGCTACATGATGTGCTTCATCATCATCATCATCATTATAGCCTTTTCCCAATTAATTGGGGTCGGCTACAAGAATCAATCCTGGTCCGCCATTCTTCTCTATTAAAGGTCATACCTTCAATGAGGCCGTAAATCCTTATATCTTTTCGGACAACTTCCAACCACATCCATTTGGGCCTACCCCTTGCCCTTTTCAATCATTTCACTTGAACTAAATCGCACCTCCTAACAAGTGTTGTACTTGATCAGCGCGTCATACATGGCCAGCCCACTTAAGTCTACTCTCTCCCATCTTATCGCCTATTGGTGCCACACCTAAATTCTCCCGAATGGATTCATTTCGAATTCTATCCCTTATTGTCACATCAGTACAAAAAAAAAAAGAAAAAGAAAAAGTGAAGGATGCATATTCATATGCTTTCACAAGCAATAAGTGTACCATCGGCAATGACACATGATTAGGGAAGGGATAACCTATCAAAAATAATATTAATAATGGAATAAATAAAGGAATAGGGTATAAAAGGGAAGAAACAAAAAAATATTTTTCTTTTATTTTTATTTTTTTTGGGTAGTTTAATACGGATGGGGTCCCCTACCAGTGGTAGGAAGGAACTCAAGACGTCATGTTATGGCAACCTACCACCCTAACCACCTACCCTTGAGCCCATTCCTAACAAAAAGGTTTTAGCCCATTCCTAACAAAAAGGTTTTCTTTAAGAGCTTTGAGGGTTGGGTAGATTTTATATTCATATTAGATATAAATATAAAATATGGTAGTTATCAATCTTGGACCCAAAGGCAAGACAACCTGACACATGTTGAAGGTCAAGGATTTAAACCCTTAATGTTTGACCCCGTTGAGCTACCTCTTTGTTAACACTTAAATATTTGAATTTGAAGATTAAAGATGGATCTATATTTACATATCAATGATTAAAAAAAAATCACTATTTTGACATTTGGTAAGATGGGACGATAGAATTGTTTACATATGGATGATTAAAAAAATCACTATTTTAACATTTGGTAAGATGGGACAATAGAATACAATTGGTAAAGGTTTATCAGGTAAGAAAAGGTGTAACGAGGTGTGCATGGGGTCAAAAAGTAGGGAAAATGGCAAATTTAAGAATTCAAAGAACTTGTACATGTCACCAAACCCAAAGTACAAGGCGAACTCCCCATATGCTCAATTAGAAAATGTAATAGTTAAGAAATTCATTTTTGATCGTTTTCCATTATGCCCTTCAAATATCAAAAGCTTCTAGGAAGTGTTCAGGAAAGTTGAAGAAACAGGGACCCTCAGCAGGCAACTCCAGTAAGCAATTTTTCTCCTAATGGTGACATATTGTATGCTTTACCTATTTCACCATCGTTCATCTAGGGAATGTATGAGTGGCAAAGGTTGACTAAGCAGCCTTCTCAAAATAAAATTAGATTTAGTTGCCACTTCTAAGACACTATTGATTCTCAGCTGAAATTCAGAATTTATATTCTGAAAAACTACCTCAGACTGTAAGAATGAGACAAACTAGCTAGTCTGACCGGTCCATGTAGATAACCAAAATTACTGAGAACCATTCCCAGCTCTATAATCGTAACCAAGATCATCGTATTACTACATTTTCCTGTCAACGAAGTATTAGATTTCAAGACTAGGATAAACACAGAACGAAATCATTATGACTGAATGGATGAATAAAGAATTTCATGGGGTTGGGACCATATTTTTGGCACCATCCTGATTTCCTCAGTACGGACCTGGTGGGGTGGTCTAGTTTTAATAAAATTATTGTTTAATAGTAAAAATTGTGCTTGGACAATGGAAAAACAAGTTCTAGGCATAAAGAAATGTAACAATTCACAAAAAATGAATAAGAGGATTGATAACTCGATATTGCTTTGCCCTTTTCCATATGAAGATCCCATGGAACTACACAGATACAACTATTAGCGAGCAAAAAAAAATCCATTCTGCAACTAGAAATAATCAAATATTAGTCTAAGATGTCTCACCTTCTTCAGGAGGCTCACAAAACCGGTCAATCGCCCTAATATCGGAAATTTTTACCCCATCTGTACTGAAAAGGCCTCCATGGACTACAAATATCTTCTCATTAATTACATGAGCTAAAGGTAAGCAACAAAATACTTCTGCAAAGAGCTCAACAAATGTGTCACTCAACTTTGACTTGACCTCGCCCTCAAAACCATAAATTTTGTTCATGCTCTTGCTTTCATGGTTTCCCCTAGACAGATAAATTGCTGAAGGAGAAAGAAAAGAACCATTAGTTACAAAAGCAACCTTGGATACAAAAAACAAAAGATGGATATGCAAGCCAAAATGACGTTTATTTCCTAATTCCAACTAACTCCAAATAATATTGCAGCAAAACACTTCCCATACATTTTTGGCATTCCATGTTCACATACTAGAAATGATAGAATTTGAAATGAATACATTCAAGGGAATTTAGGTGAGGCTCCAATATGCGATAAGATGAGGGAGAGTAGACTTAGGTGGGCAGGCCATGTGCAACATAGACCAATACAGCATCAGTTAGGAGGCGCGATTTGGTTCAAGTAGAAGGCTCTAAAAGGAAAAAGGGAAGGCCCAAAAGTACATGGATATAATTAGTGAGAAAAGATATAAGGACTTATGGTCTTAATGAAGGTATGGCCCTTGATAATGCAGGATTCATGACCGACCCCAAATAGTTGAGATAAGGCTCTAAAAATGATGATGATGCTCACATGCTAATTTGTGCCATGGGAAACAAAGCAAATGACAATCATCATGCAACTCAACCCAAAACGTCGGGCATGTATTATACCTGATGGGGACATGCATTTAAATGCAAAAAGCGCAAGGATTACTTCAACAGAAAAGGATCCCCGGTCCACAAAATCACCATTGAAGAGATATGGGTTTTCTTCTGAGGGAAGGCCATTGAGCTCAAATATATTCAAGAGGTCATAAAACTGCAATATCATTATAATAGAACAACATCAGCTCTTCAAGGCTAGTATGAGTACCAAACAAAGAAAAATAAAGGAGAAATGAGCTTCGAAGAGCTTCGAAGACTATAAAGAACATGAAATTAGTGCTCTGCAACTGGAATGACCATCACATACATAGAGGATTTCCAGCATAAACTTCCATGTGAGGAACCACAAACTCAGGTATCAACAAGTTTCAAATTTCTGCCCGAAAAAGAACAGCTGAATATAATGTACTAATTGAGCATAAATAGCTATTTGGATACTTCCTAAAGATTTACTCCTTGAGATATCCATGTTTGACAAAAATAAGCCCCAAGTAAATTAACCATCCGTATAACAAGCAGCTACCAGACAATCCAACCAGTCCAAATCACCATGATGATCCTGGGTGTGGGGATACAGTCTTCTTTTGCTTTTCAGATATTGCATATTTAAGAAATAGTCACATATATTATATATACCTAATCAAGGGTAATCATTCCTTTTTTATTCCATAATCAATTTAATGTACCAATTTGTAAATTGTACTCACTCCAAGAGGGATCCATCATGAATGAATTCCATTCACCAAACAGGCTTCTCTTTCTAAATAGGTCCATTGCAGGTATTAATTGAGAAGGAGCAGTTTATCCAATAAATCTACTGTTTATCGCTGACAGTCTACACACTGCATTTGAGAGAAATTTTTTAATGAGGTTTTGCCAATTCAGTCCTAGTTTCATTGGTAAAAGGAAATCCAGATAGAAGAGCAAAGAGCCAGTAAAGTGGCCCAGAAGGATTTTTTTTTCTTCTCTTGTGAATCAGAAAGGAATTGAAGGCAAAAACCTAGTTCTCAGGAACTTGACATGAAGAGCACTCTATAGGGCAGATAAAACTACTTTATCTAGCTTTATATAAAGCAAATGGAGAAGTGGAGGTGGCAATCATTGATTATTTGACCAACTATAAAAGCCGACATAAAAACAGCATTTATTTTTTATTATTCAAAACAAAAAACTTTTCTCTCTACATCACCCAAGAGCTAGGAAACTGAAAGCCCTTATTTGAAGATGGTTATGCCCAACAAATTGTCAGTGGCTGCCAACCAATAAAACAAAGGCCGCTGTATGTGAGGTATGGCAAAGTTCCATCATACAAATCTCTAGGGAAATTTATGCATCATGAATCCGTGAAAGGCTCTATTTATCAAAAAAGAGAAAAGGTTAGCAACCTTGTACATTGATTTTGAGAAATAATGCAACCTTGTACATTGATTTTGAGAAATAATGAAGAGAAAACTTAACGATAAAAAAAGGTTCCATAGAAGGCTTTATAAAAGAAATCAACACGCACCCCCCCCCCCAACCAACAACAAAACCAAAAAAAAAAAAAAATACCCAGATTCACATGTCCTGTTTATCTTGTTCAACAGCTCTACTACCAGAAAACTAGAAACCTTCTCTCACCAGAACTGAAATTTACACAAAATCCCTCTCCCCGACTTGTGGAAGTGACATCTCTTTAAACAAAGGCAAAATGCAGAGAGAACAGGGCAACATATATTCTAATTTCTGCCTAGTTAATTTATTTATTTTTAGGTAGTTCAGTGGGAATACAGGCCCCTACCCGTTTTTGAAATCGCTAGAGGTTTCGAAGATGTTAGGTGGTGCTACCACTACGATACCAGCCCCATTCTCAATTTCTGCCTAGATAATTGTTATAACAAACTTGATCATTGATACTGAAAACACAACAAGAGATAGAAGAGATAAAGAAAGCCAGATAAGACGAACAATGACCAAATCCGACGAGCAGGACATGAAGTGACAAGTTCTAGCATTTGTCCAGTGGCACAACATCCTGAATGAGGGGGGGTCGACATTTATAGCATGTCCTGAGTACAAACCAAATACGAACAAAGAAAAGGAAATAACACATCTGAAATCTCAGGACAGATGCAGATTACTGATGGTCAAAGAAAATGAACAACTAAAGATAATGAGCGATAGCAAGCAGAAAACAGCACATAATTAAGAACAAAGAACGAATATCATATAACATTAGAAGGAAAATAAATAAATTAAATAAGACAGTTGCAGTTTTTCTTTTTTTTGTTATTTTTTGGGAAGAGGAGAGACGGGCACGATTGGATGGGGAAACTGCAGGTTCAGAGCACAGAGATTGACAGAATCAATAATTAGCTCCAAGATGACACCAGAATGATGTTTCATTGTGATTCAATAAGCTTTGATATACCACACAAGATCTCCAATTATTATATGATCAATTTATTAATTGTGTTACTGACAAGTGTGAAGAGTACAGATTACACAAAGACACCCACCACACAATTCATTAAGGGAAAAAGAATGACAAGAATACTATAGCAATAGTGATAGTGGAATCACATATAGCACTTGTACAGTGAAATGAGATGAACACAAGTCATATGACTTCTTTGAAATTCAAATTCAAGTGAGTTATTAAGAATTTCACAGATAAGCCTTCTAAGGATATGGGTAAAGCAGAGGAAAATCAGCATTTCATGAGGGAATGAACAATATCTTGAGGATTATCCTTTTCTTTCTATTTATTGAGAATACTCATTGAACTACCCAGAAAATATACTTTGCATAGAAAAATAAAAAGCATCAGCAAGAGCTCCAAATTCCACGTCCTCGATAAAGGGAGAAATGCTCATGCACTGAGCCACTCAAATAATTTCTTTGTACATCATTAACTGTTCATTATCAGATGAAGGAAGAAAAAGGGTAGGAGGTAAACTTCCAAGTCTGTGGGAAAGTGAGACATAACAAGACATACTATCAAACCACTTCTGTTAATAGCATATTTTTCCCAGCTATGGGAAAAGCAACTCACCACAAGCCAAGTCAATATTGTCTGAGAAGGGGCATTCTGTGATAAATCATTTTCTAATTAGAGCTAACCATTCATATACCCAGTCTTCATTTCGTATGTAAAGGGAAAACCAACAATCTTGAACTAAATTTAGATGACTTTAAAAAAAGGAAAAAAGAACCCAGTGAAACAACTACTTTGACCTACATTGATCTTCAGTACATCATCCTATATTAATATCTCAGACAAAAATGGTTTGAATTCAAGAAGAATAAAAGAAACATGAAAACCAGAGCTTAAAATTACATCATCTGGCTAAAGCTCAAGAAGCCCACAAAAAGAGTAACAATACGATATAACAAGAATATCACTATGCATACACAGAACACATAGAGCCAATCAAGAATCTCACTGGACGACAAAATTGTTAAAAGAAGAGAACGGATTGTACCTACCTGGCCATGTACATCACCACAAACTGTGAAATGATCTCCATTTTGGACTGTGATATCTACCAGAGAAGGCGTTGCTCGGAGCATCTCCCTGGCTTGCAAGACTATCTGGTATGCATATCTATGACATTCATCATGTAAAATTAATACAGCAATTCAAAAGACAGGCCAAATCAGGAAATGAAATTCAACTGTTTAAGACGAGCCACTGAGACTAAATACACCTTTTATGTAAGGGCTTCTGGTTTTTAAAATCATCCATCATTTTCTTCACAAAGTCCAAAGTCACATTGTCTCCCTCTATCCTGGCACCAGCATATTGAGGCTCCACATCTGTAATCCAACAAGAACATAGAAACATGGTCCCTAAATGGGCGAACAAGTAAATGCATAGCACCATAGAATAATAAATAAGTCACGGGGTCTTTTTTTTTGAGAAAGTTACAGGGTCATTATTTTCAATAAAGCCCCATTCTTCACAATTTGGCAATGATATAAGATGCAAATACAACTACAGTAATCACGGGGAGTTTCCCAAACTTTAATAAGAGAGATTAACCTCAACTTGGTGCATAGAAGCACCAAATCCTTTACTCTCACACTCCACTCACCCCTAACAAATGCCTAAAAAATAAGGTTCAACTTAATACCATGTCCTATGTTGTTATGTTTGTTCCATATGTTCCAAAACATGGCAACAAAGACCACCTCCATAAGCGACCCCTCTCTAAGAAAGAAAGCACAAACCAAAAGAAATTTGTAATTTGTGAGAGAGAAATGTGCCCTTGTACATCAATAGCTTAGGCTTTTCCCCCCTTATTATGTTATTACTATATTCATAGATTACTCATGGATGTTCATTTCATTATTTTTATGCATCAAGCCATAAAGTGGATTCTTCTGATGTAAACAATAGTTTAACAATTAACTTTTCGTGATATAGCACATAGCAAGTCCATCAATAAGATTAAAGGTAGGCAAATTTACAAAAGGTTCAAAGTAATGTCAATGGTAGATGCATAAACAAATCCACAAAAGTTTCTTAAGATCATTACTTCTCTTTTGCAGACTTGGAATAGAACAAGGCTTTTTAGAAGCTAAATGAAACCCTAGGATAATCCTATATCAAAGTATCTATCCTGAAAGTGGCAATCAAGCGTCCGCCGTAGCCATCTCAAATAACTCTAGAGCTCAATCTACAAAATAATTTTTTCACGAGAAAATGCCACTTGTATTTGGAATGAAGCAGTCTTTATTAGTATGGAACCCTTCATCTCTCTAGCTAGAACTCCATTGACCCCTCCAATTAGTGTTGAAGCACAAAAAATACCCTCTTCATTTAACTCACACAACTTCCACTATTTCCTACTAAAATGAATTTATTTCCCGTATCTTACCCGTCCAATAAAATCTCTCTTAAGAATCATTCCTTAGCACTTACCATGTGGAAGGAAAAGACCTTCACTTGGTTTTTATTAATTTAGAGAAAGCATACAATATGCCACCTAGAGATTTAATTTGGTGGATGTTGGAAAAGAAAGGAGTCTCCAAATGCTATATTAACATGGTGAGATATATGTATGCGGGAGCGCTAACTAGTGTGCGGACAACTACTGGAGAGACAAGTGAATTTTCAGCGATAAAAGGCCTACATCAGGGGTCCTCGTCGAGCCCATATCTCTTTTGTTTTAGTTATGGACGAGTTAACTAGGCACCTACAAAATGAGGTATTGAGTGTTAAAATTATTAAAGTGCATTTTCTAGAAATCATATTAGCCTTTGTTCTTTTATTTTATTTTGAGTAATGTAGTGAGGTTGTATTTGTAATTGCACAATGAAAGTTATGGAACTAATAGATGGTTAGTAGTTATTGCTGTAAATAGGTAATTATTATTGTAAGTGGTTCGTTCTTATAGTAAATTTGGTTTTAAGAACCTCTACTTAAAAAGAGGTGTGCGGTGTGAAAAGTTGTGGCCTCATGTATCAAGTTTGTAATGCTTTTGTGTATCTTATATTTCATCATTAAATGAAAAGTTGTTTTTCTTTCCCCTCATCTACATCTAGTTAATTGTTCTTCTTCTATCTTTTTCGTACCAAAATGATCCGCTTCTCAATTAGTATAACAATGCCACACCAACCCAAGACCCATCACCAAAAAGATAGAAGAAGAACACTCAAATAGATGAAGATGAGGAGGAAGAAAAACAATTTCTCATTCAATGATGAGAAATGAGGTATATAAAAACATTACAAACTTGATACATGAGGCCAACTTTGCCTACCACACACATCTTTTTAAGTAGAGGTTCTCATAACCAAATTTACTATAAGAACTAACCACTTATAACAAGAATTACCTATGTACAGCAATAATTGCTAAGCACCTATTAGTTCCATAACTTCCCATTGTACAATATAAATACAACCTAACTATATCATCCAAAACAAAATAAAAAAACAAAGCTAATATGATATCTAGAAAACACACTTCAATAATTTTAACACCCCCCTTAAAAGTGATTTTTTAGCAATGAGACCAAGCTTAGCTCTAATAAATTCAAATAAGCCTTTGGACAACGACTTGGTCAAAATGTCAACAATATTGTCATTGCTTCGAACCTCCAAAACTTCAACCCATTTAGCACTTTCTCACGAATGAAATGATGTTCAATTTCAATATGCTTGGTCCATGCAAGACAAACTGGATTTGTTGCAAGCTTGAGAGCACTTTGGTTGTCACAATGAATGATAGTTGGTTTTTAATTAGTGAATAAACATCCTCGATTAATTGGTGAATAAACATCCTCGATCAACCATCGTAGCCACACACATTCTTGTGTAGCAAGAGAAGCAGCCTTATATTCCGCCTCTTTTTTTTTAAAAAAAAATCTCTAATCCTTCGTGCGACCCCCAGTTGCTGTCGAACCAGGATCTGATACCAAATGTTGGTTTTCTTGAAAATATGCACTTGCTACTTCAATGTAATAAAACTCTAAACTTCAGGAAAACATAAGCAGGAACGCAACATAAACAAGACAAAGAGACGAAGACTAAAGTTAAAGTAAGGATTTTATGTCCCAAAGGCCATATCAGTCAACCTAGTTACCTCACTTAAACTCCTTCGTCTTTTGATATTTTTACTTCATTCACAGGTTGTTTGGATAAACTTTAAAAAAAGGCAAGCCTAAAGAGGGATAAACAAACTAAAAAACGCGCATATCATTGCATTAGCTTGTGCCTATTTATAGGCTTTACAAACGGTTTACAGACCACCCCAACTAGTTAAGTGACTCCCAATTCGAATAACCACCCACTAAGGAATAACTACCCATTTGGGAATAACTATTTTCCCACTACAAACATAACTTCCCAGAAATACTCCTCCTTGATGCAAAATCCCTTGTTGAACTGCCAGTACAAGATCTTAAATAATATTGTTAAGATCTTCAATTTCAAGTGTTGTGGCTTCAAGGCTTTTAACCCGCTCCTTCATTTGATAAATCGGTTTTTCTCTTGCAATCTTTGTATTTTCTTTTTCATTATCTTCAATTTCAATTATTTCATTCTTTTTAGCAAATTACAATATGACAAAATGGGCAACATTTTGTTCAGGTTCTCTTTTTGTCTCTCTAGGAAAACCTTAAAATTTCCTTCCTCAAATATCTAACTCACGGACAAAAATAATATTACGATAAGATCCCTCCTTGATAAATTTGTAACTTGGAAGTTTAATCTTTGCTTTTAGCAAAATTCATAAAGCTTTTTTTTTCGAAGTGAAATTTGTTATGCGTTCCTTAAGTTTAACAATTATTTTAAAAAAAAATTAAAAACATTTTTTTTATGCCTTTACTTAGCATCTTCATGCCTTTTCATAGCATGATATACTAGGCTGCAGTCCTTTTCTTTCTCAAAAACATTTTTCCTATGCTTCACTTGGCATCCTCATGCCTTCTCATGACATAATACACTAGGACTATTGTTCTTTTTTCCCTACACCTTCATTTGGCATCCTCATGTCTTTCCACAACATGACACACTAGGACTACAATCATTCTCAAAAAATATTTTTCCTATGCCTTCATTTGGCATCTTCATGCCTTTTCATGGCATAGACACACTAGGACTAAAGTCCTTTTCTTTCTTTTTTTCCTTCCTTATACTTTTGAGAGAAACCGCTGCAACAAACCTTGCCTTAAATCTATCCACACTTCCATCCACCTTACATTTTGTTTTGTAAATCACCTACATGTGATAGGCTTTGCATCCTTGGGCCAAGGCACAAGTCCAAAGCTTGATTTTTTAAGAGAGCATGCATTTCCTCATCCATGACACAATCCTCATCCATGGCACAATCCCATTCTTTGATGCCTCTTGCTTCATCAGAAACAAGAAGGGTCACTATTTATCTATAGGGTTAGCATAAAAACATGAGTGCACACTTACAAAGTTTTCATCCCCTAATGAGCAGGCAAAACAATTTGCCTCTTAGACCTCCTAAGAGGTGGTGCCCTTTCCACATCCTTATCAATATTATGACTAGATTGTTGCCCATACATTTCATTTTCATGACAATCAACTCTTCTCCCCCTATCATATTGCTCCCCGCAGATGAAGAAGAGGAACCAACGATCAATATAGGAGCATTTGGAGTCATACGTAAGCTAACAGCCTTTCGCTTCTCTCATAACCAATGAAAATGCATTTCTTTGCCTTAGCGTCCAACTTGGTTCTTTTTGCATCTAGCACATGAACATAGCTAATTGAACCAAAAATGTTAAAATATTTGACATTAGGCTTCTCCCCAAACATCATCGCATAAGGGGACTTTATATTAACCAGAGAAAGGGGGACCCAATAAATCACACAAGTTAATGGCAGTAGGAGGGGCCGTTAAGTTAAACATGCCATTCCTTCTACTCATAAGGCTTTGGTTAAATTCTTTGCATGAAGCCAACTTTTGCATATTTCTACAATGCGACTAATTTCTCCTTCAGGCACACCATTTTGAGGTGGTGTGTGCACAAGAAAGATCCCTTTTTTAATGCCATGTACACGACAAGACAATAAGTAGTCCTGGCGTGTCGTGCCATGAAAAGGCATGAGAGTGCCAAGTGAAGGCATAAAAGAAAATGTTTTAAAAAATTAAAAAAATGAATAGTTTCAATTTTTTTTTGAAGAAAATACTTCAAGAACACAGGGCAAATTCCACTCCAAAAAGCATGTTTCAGGAATTTTGACAAAAGCAAAAGATTTGAACAATCTATTTACAAGATTATCAAGGGACCCAATCATAATCCTATTTTTGTCTGAGTTAGAAATTGGAGGAAATGAATATTTAGGATTTCCTATGGATACAAAAAGAGAAGTTGCACAAAGTGCAGCCCAATTTACCATATTGCAATTGGCCAAAAAGAAGGAAATAATTGAAGTTAAAGATGATGATGAAGAAAATACGAAGATTGCAAGAGAAGAACAAATTTATCAAATGAATGAACACATTGAAAGTTTTGAAGCCACAGTGTTTGCATTAAAGAAGGAAAATGAAAATCTTAATAATAATATTAAATATCAATTCAACAAGAAAGGGATTTGCATTAACGGGGAGTGTTGAAGATTGATGCAAAAAATTTAGAAGTGGCTCACATGTAGTTATCTCTCCCTTTAACTCTCTCTTTAAGTAGTCATGTTAGTTATGGGTTCGTGATAGTAGTTATCCAGTATTCTCTCTAATGTATGTGGATAGTTATCATCAGTAGGAAGTTATGTTGGTAATGGGAGAGTGGTTATTCCCAAATGGGTGGTTATTCCAATTGGGAGTACCATAACTAGTTGTGAGGGTAGTTTGCAAACCGTTTGTCATGGAAGTTTTGGTAAAGTTTTACATTGGCTGCCTACCTAACACAACCCACCTCATTTACCTCATTTAACACAAAGGAAAGTTTAAAGTCCTCACCCTTCTTAGACAATTGTTTGTAAAGCCTAAAAAAAAGAACAAGCTAATGCAAGGATGTGGGTGCTTTTGAGCTTGTGTTTATCCACTCTGGTGTTCCAAAAAACGTCAGGCAATGCCAAGGCAGCCAAGGGGTCTAAGCATCCCAACGCCTAGGTTCAAAAGGGGTAAGGTGTCTAGTAATCTTGTTTCAAGTCCAACTTTTGTATAAAAAATGCATGAAATGCATGTTCATGCATTTTTTATGACCCAAACAAAAGAAAACATCGAAAATACCCCATATGATGGTATTTTTACACTTAGGCAGCACAGTCCCAAGGGTGCCCGCCTAGGCAGGTACTAGGCGGGCGCCCAGGCCGGGTACTAGACGAGCGCACAGGGACAGCCCGCCTAATTGGTCCGCCTAGGCCCCCTTGGACAGCCTTTTGAATCAATGAACCTCTCTAAGCTTGTATTTATTTAGCCAAAAACATGTAAATGAAGTAGATATCAAAAGAGGAAGGATTTCAAGTGAGGTGACTATGAGGACTACTAATAGAATCCTCACTTTGACCTTTATCTTTCTCCCTTTATCTTGTTTATATAGAGTTCTTCCTTGTGTGTTCTTAAAGTTGAGACTTTTATTACATTGAAGTAGCAACTATATAGTTTTAAGAAAACCAATACCGTGGTGTACATCTTTATTTTTTTAAATGAGTTAATTGTTGTTGTGTATGTTGTTCACAGATGACATGGTTTTGGTCGATGAGACTGGAAGCAGCATCAACGCAAAGTTGGAAGGATGTTTTAAAATCTAAAGGTTTTAAAATTAGCCAGGCTAGACAAAATATAGGAATGCAAGTTTAGAAATAATAGGTGTAAAAATGAGGAAGTAGTTAAGGTTGATGACTAAGAAATGCCTAACAGAGAGTATTTTCAATATCATGGGTCGATGATCCAGGAAAAAGGAGAGACTGAGGAAGATGTCGCACATAAATTTAGAGCTGGGTAGGCAAAGTGGAGATGTGCACTCGGAGTTTTATGTGCTCGCCGCATACCAATAAAGTCGAATGGGAAGTTCTATAGGACAGTTGTGATATCAGCTTTGCTTTATGGGACGGAATGTTGGGCAATCAAGAAAAGTTACCAATTTCAAAAAAAAAAAAGTTGGGCGGTCAACATACAACATAACCATAGGATGAATGTAGTTGAGATGAAGATGTTGAGTGGCATGAATAGAAGGGATAGAATTTGAAATAAGTACATTCAAAGGAACTTAGGAGTGGTTTCAATAGTTGATAAGATGTGGCCATGTGGGAAAGTAGACTTAAGTGGGCTAGACACATGCAGTGTTGACCTAATACATCACTTTGGTTAGGACGTACGATTTGGCTCAAGTGGAAGGCTCTAAAGGGCAAGGGGAATGCCCAAAAGGACATAGAGGAAAGTAGTGAGAAATATATGGGAGCTTATAGTCTTACTGAGGGTATGGCCCTTAATAGAGTAAAATGGCAAAACAAGATTCATGTAGCCGACCTCAAGACCCTCTCCTCTCAGTTCTAAAGTCCATGGCCTATTACTGGTTTTTAACCATATCACTACTTCCTTCGCTACATTGGCAGCTATAGGTCTAGTGGTGGTTGCAATCCCCTTTACTCCCAGAAACCCACTATAGGTCTAGTGGTGGTTGCAATACCTACCAACATATTATGACGCTATTAACTTTCCTTAATCTTGGGCCCCTTAGAACACCTCATTTTCATCACACACACAATGTTTCGATATTCTTATAAGCCAAAAGAATAATCACTATTATTGGAAATCAACACTTCTTTTAAAATCTAAATTGTCCCTGCCTCATACCCAATATACGAGATTTTCATTTTCCCGAATGACAGTGACCAAAAATTCTACACACAAGTTGGAATTTCAACTGTCACCATAAATCTATGAAATCATAAGAAAGTTGATGTGCAGGAACCCATAAAAAGGCATATTACATACACTTCTACTAGGTTAGAAGCTAAACCCCGAATTGAACATGAAATTGGGCTTACAGAAAAGCAAAATTACTGTACAATATAAGCAAGAGACAATCATATTCAACATTAATCTAAACAAGTTTCAAATTTTCCAAAAATCTAGGTCACATATCAAAACCAGCCCAGTTCAGTCTTATCAGCGTATGTCATCAATTTCCAGTCAGTTCCCTAGCATGTCTTTCAAACGACGCTTTCATCGATCATTGAGAATAAAAAATAAATTATTGTCTCCCAATCAAAACTTCTTTCGATGGCACACATTTGACATGACTATTCATTATAGAAATCACTGGTCAGCATGCAGAGCAAAACCTATACTTGATCTAGTCAGCATTATTTGAACATAATCTGTAGCATGAAGAAGTGTCTTTTCCTTTCACTTTTGTTTTCCCCAAACATCTGAGACGGAAAGATTAAAGTCTACCATTAAAATGGAAATGAAAGCTACTTGACGCACTAATTAGTAAAGGAATTTTAAAGAACAGTATACAAAAATATAAAACCCAAAACTACAGTACCAAGGAAATTCAATGTGGCGAAAGCAGTCAGAAAAAGTATAAAGATAAGAAGAAAAAAAAACCTATCGATCGATAATCAATCGAATCAGCAACAGAATGCCTATCATAATCTTGTACAGCAATTGCCTCCTCAAATCTAAGCTTCTGAACAGCTTTCTCACATTCCTTCAGCTTCCTGTTCGCATCAGGATCATTTGGACAAATTCTCTTGACCTGCACCATTTTAGGAAAAGTGAGACAAACAAAGAGTGAAGACATTCAATAACAAGATGCCGAAATTTCATAAATTCATTAGATTTATCCTGGATATGTAAAAAAAAAGAAATAATTGGTAGAATCCATTTAAAAAATAATAATTCATTTTTCCCAAAAACAAAAATCACAAGTTTCATAAATTCATTACACTGCGTGACAAGGCCACATTGGACCTACAATAGGAAAGCGAGTAGGGCACCACATAGGCTTCTTTGTGTGTGTAGCCAATGCTCACCACACTCAAAGAGGGAAAAAAACAAAACCATACATCATTTTGTAAATTACCAGTCTCCCTACGTGCTAACCCAGAATGACTGTGGCTATTGTATTGTTGAAAACCAGTCTGATTTAGCCAACTGAAACTCATTACTAGGTCAAGTATAGAAGCACACTCCAGTACAGGAGACATCCATAGCCTCTGTGAGTCTCACCCACAAATTTTGAAAACCATAGCATCGATATTCTCTTTCTATCAAATAAATTATCTCATAAATCATATCGGTAAGCAACTCAAAATCCGCTGTCCATAGATGTCAAACCTAGAATCTTAGTACAAACACCAAACAATTACTGACAGAACATTCTCCCATCCAAGATAACAACCATTACACCTCCTTACACTCCACTAGGGGGTAGTTATGAGAAAACAACCACCCCTCCTAATTTTTTTTGTCCTTTCTTATACATCACTAGTTAAATTGTGCCCACGAAGGAAATTTATGTGGAAAGACCAGACTTCTTAAAAGACACTTTCATTTTACATGAGTCACAGCATCACTACAGAAAGAGTTTAGGCTTTGCCAAACTGTATGACGCATATTAGTCTCACAAACTACAACTTCGAAACAATAGTAGGAAAGAAAACTTACTAAGACGTAAAAGAAAACGAAATACCTGTTGAAAATCTTTCAAAGCTTCCTTGAATTTTCCCATTGCAAGATATGCAGCTCCTCTCCTATAATAGCCCTGCACAAATCACTTGTCAGAACAATAACCAAGACCAGTCAACCCATAACACCATAGGAGAAACAGCAAACCTTTGAATATCTAGGATCAATTTCTACTGCTTTTGTTGCATCCTGCACCGCACTCCCATACTCCTCGAGTCTAGTGTGTGCTATTGCGCGGTTTGCCCAGTATACAGCATTCTGATTGTTCAGTTCAATTGCTTGAGTGTATAGCTCTATAGCTTGATGATACTTATGGGCTGATGCAAGCAACAAACAGAAGTAATAGTAAACACTTTATCAGTAACCAAGGCATAATACAGCCCCATATTAAGAAACATAGCATATTCAGAAAGTCGATGGCAATCCAAAGAATTATGAAAAAAATTTCCCATTTGGTCATAGCCGTCCAACAGATTGATGGGCAGTGATGATGAGAAAATGATATCCACCAACAAGGTCATAACCTGTTCTTGTGGGTCTCAGACTCTACATCACCACCACACATCATTTCAATGGACAAAGCAATAAGGTAAAATATGACAGACACCTTTGAATGCTTCATTTGCAAGAAGTTTGAGTTCCTCTGCCTTTTCAACATCTGAATTCGTAGTACCATCAATGCTGGCCATTGTGAAATGAAACTGCGTCTGATGTGATGTGTAACCCTGATTACTAACGTACTGATCTCATGTGCCACATGACATACTTCATTCTACAAGAGATGCTTCAACACCATGAAGCCTTCTCTATGGATGTGCATCTGTTTCATCAGAAAGCAATTATTAGTACTACGACTAGTCGACTAGATGTACTATGACTACTACTATTATTATTGATAAGTAATGATTATTAAGTTAGTAACAACAATATGATCAGAACATCCATGTTGACAATTGACATAGGGTAGAAGAAAGAATAAGCATAAGTAATCATAACTTCGCAGCAGCCATTGAGTAGAAGTCTAGAACATGAAAACCGGAGAGAGATGATTATACTTTTAAAGCACTAGAGTATATCCAAGTGGACAAACTGAGGCAGGTATCTAGCTCATGTAGGTCACTTCCAACTTTTTGGTGTCTACAGATAGATAGATAAATCTTATTCCTTTTCAGCTACCAAAAATAAGGACATAACAAAGGTGTATGTCAATTTGCATAAGCGAGATTGAACTTTTAGCAAAAGTACACGTACAATCAAAATTCAAAAGGTTTAAGCTGTCTCCAATCACCCTGCTCTGGATCATAGTTGAATCAGTAGGACTTGAAAGAGATACAAATCCAATTTAAAATAAACATAAGAAATCAATTTAGAATAGGAACTGGTAACAAAGTTTCGAATCTTCAAAACTCAGCAAGAGCCTAAGAAAGTCTATATTGGTAAGCCCCCGGTCATTTTTTTCCCCCCTTGTTGAGGATAGCAAAGATCTCATTAATAGAAAAGGGGAGAAAGTTTAATGAATGATAATGTGACTTACAGCATGGCCATCATTTCAAAGTTCACATAACAAGGTACATCACATACGGGTAAATACCTAGAGGAAATAAGTACCTCTGATATTTGCTATGTTGAATGAACATACATATCCAATTCATTGGTGTTCCTCATATTGAAGAAACAATGTCAAGGGACTGTCAGAGAGATGTACTAGATGAATCCCAATGCCAAAAGGTGGATAAAAATGAGGGGTTGAGATAAGCCCGATACACAATAGAGATAAATAATAAACTGCTTAAACCTTTTTTTGGTCGGGCATCCCAAGCTATGAAGTGGTGTTCAGTCAAAAGAGGCCATCCATTGAAGGTAGAGTATTTCATTAAGGATGAAATGGCAAATGATTTGATATAATTATTTACAAATAGAGATCTCAAGAATAAATAGATGGGGCATGGTGGTATGTGATAACTAAGACATCAACAAAAAAAAGAACGAATTGGAAAGTGTCTGAACCAAGATATTTCTAGTTCTAGTAAGCTCCTTGTATTAGCCCCGTAGTGTATATAATAGTTCAGGATCAAAAAGCTCCAGTACACCATGAAAACAAATTTCATTAGAAAACTCGAATAGATTAAGTGATCCGCTCAAACCTTGACTGGAAATTGATAGAACAAAGCCCAGAATATTTTTCATCTGCTTTCAGGCCACCTCAGAATATTTTTCATCTGCTTTCAGGCCACCTAACTAAAATCAATGGAATTGATATATTTCTGTAAATTAAGACACTTTAACCTACCCTTTTAACAGTCACCAACAAGAATGGAATTAGAATAAATATGAGAGAAAAGAGAGGAGGGGGGGAAGAGAGATACAAAAAGGGAAAACAGGATGAACTGCAAGAAAACTAAATTACACAAGAGCTTTTCAACCAACACATACTCATGAAAATAAATATGGTTCTACAGTACCCTTCCGAATACATATAGCTAGACAGGAATCAAAAACCAATAACACCATAGACAAAACAATGAAAAGAAGAACCACTGCAACAACACAAAGAAAATCAAACATACTTTCCATGCTTGGGATTCAAAAGATAGGGTTTTTACAGAATTTCCTTCAACTTTCTTTGAACAAACACTATGATATCGAGCTGAAGAAATCTACTACTCTCAATAATAAGTTTTAGTCCTTTAGCCGCCTTAGCTTCATTAGACATAGTTTATACTTCCTTTTATTGATTATCAGAGGATGAAATTTCAGAGCTTACCTTTATAAATGAGAATTGGGGCCAACTTAATTTCAGTTATCACCTTCAATGAAGTAGGAAAGAGAAACCTGAACCCTAAAAAAACCCAACCCTGAAAAGCCCCTCTCGACGGTATGAATAAACGTCTCCTAAACCTAGCACTTTAGCGCCTAAAATAGAACCCGCTACATCAGTGGGGGACGAGGTCAAGGCCGCAATTATGCTCCTTCAAGAAGAATGGAGAAATTTTGTAAAGAAGAACGGAGAAATTTTGTAAAGTTCAAATTCTATTTATTATTTATTTCAGGAAAAAATTTATATAGAATCGAGGCTCTAACCAATCAAATTAGAGCCCACTTCAAAAATTTTATTAAAAAAGATTGTTTTGATGCATGGAGATGAGAAAAAAATAGATTTTAAGTTTTGAAAATGGTGTACCTTTTAACGCATTTTTGAACTGTTAATTTTTGAGATTTTCATAGATCGGCTTAATCTATACTATTTTTTAAGTTTTAAATTTTATAATTAAAGATGAAATATATTTTAAGACTATCACAAAGATTTCTATTATTGAAACTACATTTCTCTATACTATTTGAAGTTGCACTTTACTTTGATTATTTAGATAGTCGGCTCTATACAAACTGCACCATACCATTGTATATTATCCATTTATCTTTCTTATAAAGAAAAGTATATATAGAGCATTTATTTTCAGTATAACGAGCAGCTACAACTAAAATATTTCAAATTGGGTAGTTTTCATAGTGTCGTTAACTAGATGTAAAGTTTAAAAATAATTTCTCTAACTTTGTGAGTCATCTAATTTGATTTTTAATTACTAAAAATAATTGTAACATTCTTGTAACAAAGATAAATTGTCTCATAACATAGACTTCCTAGTAATAATGTGAAAAGTACATCTTCTCCCAATATTTTAGAGGCTTGGAGATGGATGATTTCCCATAGAAGAAACCTTGGTAGCTGCTAAGAAGGCAGTGCCTATTGATGAGTAGTTATTTAGAGGATTTTATACCATGAAATACTTTTGATATAAGGATGTCATAATTAATTTTAATCATTGATGTAAAATCCAATAGATAAAAAGCGTGTTATAGCATTTGAGAAATTTTACTTTGGACATCTTCATATAAAAAATGAATCGTATCATTATATATATTTTCTCATTTTTAATATACGGACAGTTTATTGGAGATGTGTTACTGATGATCCATGAAGTCCAAAATAAACAAGATTATCTAAAAATAGACCATTTACCTTCCGTACAAGGAGGTCACAATCATTCTTGTTATTTAGATTTAAAAAATGGTAGTTGTAAGAGTGTCATCGATTAGACACAGTTAAAATAATAATAATTTCGAACTTTGTGACTCACTTCAAACCATCCAATCCAGCTAATGAGTGGGAATAGTTGTTACGTATTTGTACAAAAAGTCAATGGTCCCAAAATAAAATTTCTTGAATGTTATGACACATTTCAATATATTGTATTGTATTTTTAATATCAACTTTGATCTTTTTATATAAAAAATAAATAATATCATAAAATAAAATCTAAAAAATAGATTATTTTGTTGTCTTAAATTTAATTATTTAGAGCCTCGGCTCTATATAAACTTTTTCCTTTATTTTGTTAAGAAAGAATTACCCACTGGGCACTGCCAGTTTGATTTCTTATAAAAATGATGAAAAACTCAATTTCTAAATCAACCTAAACACTTGGCTTTCAGGCCACCTTCCACCTAATGCCGTCGTAAAGGAATAAAGGCATACGATTTGAGTCCCCCACTACAAACAAAAGACGGACAGAGATAGAGAGAGAGAATATGCGAAAGAGAAGGTATAGAGTTTGCTGACCACTCTTTCGTAAGAAGCTAGTCATTTCAACCACCGATCTCTCATGCCACTTCCTCCTTATCTTTTATCATGCGTCCTTGACATACAAGTTTAGAAACACCAGTAAAATTACATTGCAAAAAAAAAAATATAAGTTTACATATACTTTATCGCACTCTCAAATAATTGAGATAAGACCTGATGATAATAATAATGATATATTTCATTTCACTATATTGCATATACTTCAATGTGTGATTTTCTAGAATGCATTCATAATTTTATTTTTTAAGTTGATAGCTAGATAGGTCACATCGATAATTTGGGAGATTTTCAAAGGCACTTAGCAAGATTGTACCCAATTGACGTCATGTAAATTTTGCCTTTTTTGATATCTTTTCTCTTTTGCTATAATTAGAGATTTGTTTTTCTCCGTTTCCTTTTTCTTTCTCTCCTATGGAAACGTTTGTATCTTCCCATTGGAAAAACATTCAAAATAATCTCTCTCAAAATTATAGTATGGGAAAATGCTCTCTCAAAATTATAGTATGTGGAAATGCTTTCTTGTCTCATAGCACAGAATTAACGCTACGCATAGGCCTCATCCTCCCTTTCTTAACTCTGTCATTTTCGGGGTGCTGGCATATAGAAAATTCAAAACCCCAATCAATGTTATATTCCCGCGATAATATATTGTCCATTTACCCCTTCTGGAAAAACCCATTTTAGAAGTAATTATAGGACCCCAAACTTTATGATGTAACTTCTTTGAACCACAAACTAACTTCAATTAAAAAAAATAAAAATAAAAACTCCAAATCACACCCACTCTAGAAGTAATTGTAGGACCGTGTTGTCACCTCTTTAACCAACAGACTAACCTCCACAAACTAACTTCAATTAAAAAAAATAAAAATAAAAATTCCAAATCACACCCACTCTAGAAGTAATTGTAGGACCGTGTTGTCACCTCTTTAACCAACAGACTAACCTCAATAAGAAAAAGAAAATTGTTTCTTGCAGGCTGGACCGCATGACTACACGTGCGATCTAAAAAGTGTAAAGCATCCATTTTAAAGATGGATGCAAGTAGGTGTTTCATTTAAAAACAATAGAAACTAACAGCCCAATTATTATTTTTATTAGTATTATTTATAGTTTTTAAAATTTATTTATTTTTCATATTTATGATCTCTATGTTGCAGAATACAAATCCTTAAAAATTAAGTGCAAAAATCCATCTCAAACATAGATTTATTAAGAGGCGCGTATTTCTACATATGCGGGCTTGGCCGCATAAAAAACCGGGTCCATAAAAAAAAGAGTGAGGTTTCTACAAGATGACAACATTAAACAACCAAAGTGAGCACCACCTCTAAATCTAGCTAACAAATGAATTTCTTGTACTAGAAACTATTCCGATGGTCTAAAAATCTATTTTTATTGTTAGTTATAAAATTTAAAGCTATAAAGATGGTGTAGATCGAACGGATCTATAAACATTTAAAATGTTGACAATAGACAGTCTAGATAATGTGTTACAAAATATACTATTTTGAAGACTTGAAATCTTTTTCTTTGTTTTCCATATACATGAATCTCGAGGTCGAGATGATACATTCGAAAAACCTTTTTGGATAAATTATGTAGGTGCACCGTAAGGTTGACACCTTACATGAACTTTTATCCCCCAAAAAAGAAGGTTCCAAATCTACACTCTAAAGTAATTGTAGGACTCCCAAATTTTGGGGATTTAACATCTTTAACCTATAGAGTAACCTTAAAAAAAATTGAAAGGAAAATATTCAAATCATATCCCACCGGACAAAACTTAAACCATAAGTAGTTGTAGGACCCAATTTTTTTGGGATGTAACCTCTTCAAGGGACCCTCAGATTTTTTTTAAAGTGAGATCTAACTTATAGAAAACTTAAAATTCAAATTTTATCACTTAAAAATAATGATCTAGTGATTTGAAGGTGGTATTTAAGGTGAGATCTATGTATTAAAAAAAATGAAAAATTCAAATTCCATATTTCGAAAATAATTATTTAGTGATTTTTTAGTGGTTCCAAAAATTTCAAATAAAACAAGTTCTCCTAACTTAAAAAACTTAAAATTCAAATTTTATATTTTAAAAATAATCATCTCGGAAATAAATAGGTGGTTACAAAAATTTCAAATTGAAAGAATCATTCCAAGTTAGTCTAGGAGTGGCAACGGGTTGGGTCGGGTCGGGCTGGACCTGGACCTGGACCTAAACCCAATTAGTATTCGGATCCAGGTTTTGGACCTAGACCTGACCCGTCGGGTCCAAAAGTTGGACCCATAGTTGTACCCATCAGGTCACTTGTCTATCATGTTGCATCCAGGGTCTAGTCGGGTCCATTACCACCCTCACTATAAGCTTCCTTCTTTTTTTTTTCCTTTTTTTTACCCTCATATACATATATTATTGGTAATAAAGTCACAATCACCTGTCCATTAGATTTCAAGCCATCCGATTTGTCATTTAATAGCTAAAGATGACCATGCATTTTATTATATATAATCATCAATACACCCAAATGAATAGGGCTTGAAGCATTTTATCTCCAACAATTTACGAGGACAGGTCGGTTCCAACCAGACTTGGACCAGAATAATAATCAAGTCTAGGTTTTGGATTTGGACCCGACCCGTCGAGTCCAAATGTTAGATTCATACTCGGATCCAGCGGGTCCCAGGTCGGATCCGGGTCCATTGCCTCCCCTAAATAGGTCATCCATCTTAAGGTTTAAATAATACACTCCCACTAAAGCATAATATACATGCTCAGTAAAGCGGCGCGCAATGGAAGAACAGATAAATAGCTGAGAAATTTATCCCTTCATAACGAGATGCACGTGTTCGCTGGTCCTTCTCAAATCCCAAATAAATGGAATAAAGATTGCCAACGCCCTCTTCTTATCCAAAAGAAATGAAGCATTTATATCCTGAAACCGGGTTTAAAAAGACAAATCGGGGATCCAAATCCAGATTGGTGGTCCGGACTCTAGACAGCTATCCAGATCGGCAATCCAACCCAGTGAACAAGCCAACAAAAATTTCAAAGTAGTAAATAAAAAATCGAAAAAAAAGATAAAAACAATAAAAGGTGGAGCAAATTTTGTCCGGTTCTTTGACCAATTGAATCAGAGAACCGGCCAACTAAAAGAGTGTTCTAATATTGGAAAATACTTCGACCAATCATCTTAGCTTCAACATAAATGGTATGAAGAAAAAAAAAGAATTTTAAGTCCTAAACATAGTGCATCTTGTAGCATGTTATCAAAACTGGTTCTCTAATTAGTTTTGTCAAAAAACTGACCAACTAGAAGAGTGTTTTAATATTGGAGAATACTCTGACCAATCATCTCAACTTCAAGATGCGTGGTATGAAGAAAAAAAGAATTTTAAGTCCTAAAAGTAGGGGAACTATAGAAATATTTCTCTTATGTCAAAGAACCGACCAACTAGAAGGGTGTTCTAATATTAGAGAATACTACGACCAATCATCTCATCTTTAAGATACGTGGTATGAAGAAAAAAAAGAATTATAAGACCTAAAAGTAAGGGAGGTATAGAAATCTTCCTTTCTATCAAAGAACAGGCCAACTAGAAGAGTGTTCTAATATTGGAATACTCCGACCAATCATCTCAGCTTCAAGATGTGTGATATGAAGAAAAAAAAGAATTTTTAAGTCTTAAAAGTAGTGTATCTTATAGCATGGCATCTGAACTGTGTATTTTCAATATCTCAAAGTGTTTATAAACCTGCTAGATTTGTACCAAGTTAGAAATATTATAGCTAGCGATAAAAATATATTTCGAAACTATCATAAGATTTCCTATACTAGAACTACATCTCCAAGCAAAATTTAAAGGTGCACCTTATTTCCCTAATACAAGGCTAGCAACGGATCAGTCGGCCCAACCCAGCCCAATCGACCAGGCCCTAAAAAAGAAAGGCTTGGGCCACAAAATGTGGCTCAAGAGCTAGGCCAGGGTCAGTGGCAGCCCGGTTTGACTCGGACTGGCCCTCTTTTTTTCTTATTTTATTTTTTCTTAGTTTGTTTTTAGCCAGGCCATTATAAGACAAAGGCTTGGCCAAGGCCCAGGCCTGGTCCTTTGCCAAGGATGGCGCATCATGCAAACTCACCCGAAAAATAATGCAAAAATGCTTTTTCTTACTAAAGGCAGAAAATAGTCTCAAATCTCTTGTACAGTCTCATGCACCATGCATATGCAATCATGCATTTTGGAGATCCCACAGTCCCTCAACACACCCATATTTCTTAAAATCAACACAAGTGCCCCAATCTCCCCCTATGCACAAATATATTTAGATGTCGACACACACCCCCCTCTCTCTCTCCAAACAAAGCCACATTTGGAGATCAAGCACAAATAGTGGTTGGATGGGGATCTCTCTCTCTTGGTTGAACTGGAGATATCTCACACACACATACCCTCTCTCTATCATGTTGCTCCAACCCTTCCAAAAAGGAGAGTAGCCGTAAACCCGTTCGTGCCTGCTTGCATATAGTAGTTGTGAGGGACACCACTCATGGTGATAGCGCTCCACACTCTAGTCACCAACGTGGTTTTCATTTTCACCATTAACACCACCCCACTAACACCTTAAAAAAAAAACTAACCCTCAATCTACTTGAAAAAAACAGGTAGTGGCCTATCCTCCTTACCCGCAAAAAAAAAAAAAACCATCTCCACCGCCATCCCGCTATTGACTTGGTGATAAAACTATACAAATACAGAAGCAGGGCAAGGAGCCCTCCCCCAATGGTGCCCCTACAAGGCCCGCCCAAGCCCAATATACTCAGAGAATATAAAAAGAAAACGCAAAAAAAAAGAGAAAACGGTCATATAGAGCCAACCCCGTCATGGCTTCCGCCCAAGCCCATATGGCCTCGCCATGCCGTCGTGGCTTCGCCTCATACCACATTTTATAGCATAAGCCTTATTTACAGAGCAAGGCCGCCCACACCCGAACCAAGCCAGCTGGCCCATTGGCAGCCCTAACTAGATGGTGCATGGGATGGTAAGGAAAGGGCAACCAAAAACAGCCAGTACCAAAAGCAACCAGTATTTTAGTAGCCACCAAGATGCAATTCGCCTAAATTGATCAACCACAGATAAATCCAAATAGGATTTTAATATGGACTTACTACTACCGTTCGACTCTTGATAAAAAATAGCTTTTTAAATAGGATTTTATCAAGAGAGCCACTCACCGTTTGATATTAGATCCAACGTCTCAAAGTATTTTATTTTTAGTTTTATTAATACAATTTTTCTGAATATGAAATTTGATACGTGTCATCTTCTCATTGGGGCATACCAATAAAAAATATTAAAAATAATTTTTCGATAAAATATAATGACCGAAATACTCTTTAAAACTTTCAAAGGTATTTTGGTCATTTTATTTTATTAAAAATATTTTTTTTATATTTTTTGTTCGTGCGAGTTTAATAAAGGAATGGACGTCCAAAAATTTGATGTCAAAATAATTTATAGAAAAAAAATTAAAAATGAAATAGTGTGTAGATGTGATATTGTGATTGGAGCAATCTTAACCCTCCATTAAGAAATGGACGGTTGAATAAAAAGGAGGATAGAACGCCTATGTTTTAAGGGGAACATAGAAAACCTTCCCATATATATATATATATATATATAAAAGAAAAAATTTATATAAGGATGCAACCTTATAATGTAGAACTACGGATGCCCCTCAAAAAACTATCGGAAAAGGTCGTTTTAACATTGAAAAACCATTTGATTGATCTTCCCAATATCGCGATGTATGACTATGAAAAATAAAAAGATTTGAAGTCTAAGAAATAGTGCATTTTACAACATATTATCTACACCGTCTATTTTCGAAATTTTCATATGTTTATAGATGTACTTGATTTTAACCATTTTTGAAATTTAAAATTTTATAATTAGATATAAAAATAGTTTTTAAAATAATCCTAAGAACATTTTACATCAAAATTGTAAACCATATTAAAATTTGAAGGTACACCTTACATCTACACCTATGGATGCATCCGTATGCCAACTGTACCTATATATATATATATATATATA